ATCGTATTAATAACCCAATCATTCAGCACGGCTTTGATAATTCCCTCTAACATAATCTCTCCTTATTATTATACTGGCAGGAAGATAGGTATGAAAATTGGTAACATTGTCTTTTAATGAAGCCATAATCCATTCCACATTTTTTTTTATTCTTTTCCTCAAGAAAAAAAAATGTTATACGCTTATTACGTCTGACAAGACTTAGTGTATATGTATGTGTGCCTAGACGTTCTACAAGTAGACAAAAAAACCTTCTATTTCAGGAAAGATAGTCAATTAAGAATAAGTATATGTACAGAATTCATGTAATTAAGGTAAAGTTACTACTATTATTTAGTTCATACAATTTATTTTAGTTCAATTGTGTTGAAAACTACAAAATTTAATGTATAAGTTTTATATTGTACCATCCTCGAATACGTTCAGTACTAAGCAATGAATTTAAAGTTTCTTGTTCAAGGAAACAATCGCTTGCCCCTGACATGGTTTGAACCCACACAGTTATCAAGTCTTAGGATATATATAAAAGTAACAAATTATTGTGAAAATATTTGGAGACCCTGAGTCCAAGATATACTTCAACCCCTATTACAATAGCTAGGTTACACACTGGCAAAGCATGTACCATATTTATCTTCTGACAATCCTTGACAGCTTCTGATAAATTAAAGTTTATTATAAGATATAAAAAGAAATTGCATTCTTTACCCCTTGCAAAGATTATGAAAGAGATCTAACCGATATTTGAATGAATGAAGTAGTGAATAAAGTGGTGAACAACGCAATAGTAGGTGATGAATGCGGAAGGTACGAAGATCAAAATCAAAACAGTATCAAACATTTTGGTTATAAAACCTTTGTGTGTGTGGAGGTAAAAATAGTAAAAAATATGCAACAAGTTTTGGCCAGGCAAGTCTGCTCATCTGTGTGCTGCTTGACCAGTATTATTTAGTTTTTATATTTTGATATTCAGTTCCTTAACAAACTTAAATATCTATAAATCCCAATATATAAAACAAAATAGCAGAATTAAGCCAATTATTTACTAGTCATCAGTAACCCTGGTCTTAGAAAGGGGACACTGAAGGCAATGATAAAATACCCTCTGCTTAATTTATGTGCTATGAATTACAAACATTCCTTTCTGGTATTTAAATAATTAATAATTCACCAAATACCAGTCCACTTAACATCATGAATTTAAATTAATAAGGGCACTGACCCTATAGCAAATTGTTACAGGCATATTGACTGTCAAATTACTACTTAAAATGCAATGACAATTTAATTAAGACTTTACTATAAACAGTTAAACTTGTTTCAAATAAAAGAAAAAATATATTTTTAAAGTTGATATAAAAATCAAACACAAGTTTTAATATTTATTTTTTCCCCATATTTTGTATAATCAACCTAAAAAATTGTTCACAATGCAATCAACACTATAGTTGTGTTAATTAAGCTTTTACTCAGAGTGAGGTGATTCAACAGTGGTCATGTGACAAGCTGTAGCAGGTCATTAGTATATATATTGCACTTTGTCACCTCTTAAATGTCCTAAAGCTGTCAATTACATCAGTAAATAGCCAGACTTGCAAACCACTGATGTAACACAACAGGCAAAAAAACGACCGTTGTACTTTTTATGATAAAAAAAAAACAGAGAAAAAAATATATATGAAGATATATGTTTCTCAATATACACAGTTTTTCCGTGCCTTTTAATCAATGACAAACAAAGTGAATATGCATGAAGTGTCCCCAGGGCCTACTTTACCATCATATAAATTAATCATGACATATATCTCTCCAATTGATATTCCATTTAAGTATAGCTGCTGGGGTCCTCGTAGAGTAATTCTTCAAACTTTTAAATTATACATAACCTTTAAATTTCAAAAGACTGTAAGCCTAGGAGGTTTTCTTAAAGGCCCGTGTAGTGTATCGATGAAATAAATTAAGTATGTACAATATCCACTACATAACCACTTCACATAAGTTCAAAACACTTAAAAGATCCATTTGTTTGTGTTTTCACAGGACTGCAAGACACAATAACACACTTTCAGGTAGTTCTTTATGACTGTTTTCATACAATAATCAAACCTTTAAGTAAGTTATTTAACAACTAGCTTGACCACCCAAAAGAAAAACTTTTATAAAATTCCCTATAACATTATAACATGTGGTATTGAGATATAAGGCTAATCATATCATAAACATTAGAGCAGACTGTACAGTGACCTAGAGATTACACTGTCTGAGCAAGAGATCATTTCAACCCTACCCTTAACTTTACTTGGTCCAATTGAATCTTTCAGATGAGACCTTAAACCAAAGTCCTCAGAGTATTGGTGCTAAAGCCTATACATATATGGGTATAAAAGAACCTGTGTAAGACTTGTTTTCCTAGAAAGTCGTCCAGTTAGCTCAATAGGTAGAGCATTGGAATGTTAATAAGGCGTTCTGGGTTTGATTCCCCGGACGGTGCAGGTCACTTTCATTGCGATTGATCATGAAATCTTTCCTACTGCCATTCACACTGTGCCTCTGCCCTGGCATGTTTAATGCGAAAGTGAAGACAACTAGTACTGGTGAACTGCTTGACAGCCTGCCCAAGAATGATGTGGGGGCTGAACTGTGCTTTGGTAAATTAAATGTGGCCTACTGCCATGATCTGGAGTGAAAACTACTACTACCACTTGTTTCTCTAGCAATGTTGCAAACAGTAGAATCATAAATTATGCCTGTCAAGCAAAAAAACTCTGGCATCATAGAGATTAAATTACAAGCACCATTACTTCTTCAAAAATAGTGATTTGAGGAGGGTTTTTAAAAGCCTTTCTTAACATTTTTTATGAAGTTGATGATGTGCTTTAGTGTTTGAATTAAATAGTATAAAAGAAATATTATAAACTTTTAATACTTTCACTGTGTTCTTGCTACAAAGTGATTGAAGTAACTGTTAAATATAAAAAACCCATTTTAAGATGGATTTTTTCAATTAGGTACATTGTGTCTGAAAACAGCCTTATTGTCTTATTTATAACATCATCAATTTTCTGGTAGGAAACTCCAAATATTGTATGACATGTTTTGTTCAGTACAAAAGAACATACTCAAGAAAAGTTCAATAGAAGCATTAAGATGAATTTTCACCAGAAAAATTCAATAATTTGTCTGAAATCTTTGAGAAATTTAAATGTCAATTCTAATGTCTGCAAAACTCTTCATATTGTCTGTTTGAGTAACCAAAGAATGCAAGACAGAAAAGAAATATTTACATATAAACATGTATATAATAGTGTCTTAAGAAAGAACGAAAAGATATTTGTTTGATATTTTAGTAAAAAGATAATTTTATAATTCATAATTTTTCTTGTTTAACTTTTCACTAAAATGAATGGTCATCATAAAATATAAAGAAAAAAAATTGCATGCATTTCCAACCCTGTTGTGTATATAATTATGTTTTTTAACATTCCTTACATTTCGATCGAGCATTAAAAATGTTTTTGCTTGGTCAAGTTATAAGTTTTACATCGATCTGCGATATATATCAATGATTTACGTTACTGGAAACTGGTACAAATTTAATCATGCGAAGATCTATAAAAATAACATGTCCCTCCCATCAAATTAATTAATCAGTCCAGCACTCCAAATAATTACATTGATCAACAATTATTCGCTGACGGGTTGTTTTATTGCGATACATATTTCCTTTACGGTGATTAGAATAGAATTAGAATAGGTGTCGTATAACTTAAGTGTGCAAAAAATTTGATACCAAAAGCAAATATCTGCGAACAAAGTAATAAATCTTAAAATTCAATCTACCGTATAAATACCTGATATGTTGTCAAATTGTAAAACCGTTAATGGCTGTTTACCCTATATAGGCAGGGTCAATCAATAAGCTCGGTCATTCAATATATTCTCAAGACTATCACTGTATATTAAAACTTGATTGCCCATATTTATAGAGCACGTTAAACACTATAAGGTAATATCTGATTATTAAGTCAACATTGACCAAATATTTACTGCAATTGGTGAGGAATCCACCACATACATGTAAAACTATAAAAACTACCTAAAAACATTGAAATCTTAACTTTTCTGTCACTCAGATATTTCAAAAATAGACTGAAAGATTTTTTTCTTCAGATTTGATCCATGATTTGATAATGGGTCAGGTTTTTATGCAAGACTTGCTATAACCTATCTGAAAATATTTAATCTATAGTACAACAAGACTTGCATAAATAAATAAAAACATTACATAAGTAATAGATAAGTAATCAAAGACAGTTATATGAAAACAGATTTAAAATGTACAGAGCTTATTTTTTTAAGAAGATCCATGATTGACTCTCTTTGCATATACAAGTACAACTACAGTATTTCACACACTTCGGAAAAGTACTTAACACAATAAGACTTACTCAACCTCTTTTTTAAATGCATAATTTACATTCTATTTCATAATTATACCACATATCTAATTACATACTAATCTCGTACTGGATTCCTATCAACTAATCAGGCATTCAAACAGAAACATCAATAAAGAACTTTCATGGTTCTTGTTCGAACATGTATACGCTATTATGCATTCAAAGATATTTAAGAAATCTTATCTTTTTCAAAAACATTATCACTGTCAATTTACCTGTCTGTCTACTTCAAAACAAATTTAAACAGATCAGTTTAATACATAAAATTATCAAGGTTAAAAAAAACCTATTTATCACTTTATCAAATCAATGAGAAAAATATATTTTATAGCTTGTCAATAATTTGAATTTCTGTTTGGTAGTTTGAGATATGTAAAAAAAAAAAGTAAAAAATCATTACTAAATGGCTAAAAGCAATGAAATGAATATGTTATTAACTTTAACTTTTCATTTTTTATCATACATAATTATGCATAATTGTTACTAAATACAGTCAAGAATGAAACAGTTCTTGTTTGCTAACATACACAATATACTTACTCTAGATAGTAAATTCTGCCTTCATCAGAAACCAGCTTGGCCTCCCAACTTTCGGGAAGAGCACCATTTAAACACTTCAGCCTATTCTTCTCTAAAGCCGACATCCTCGCTAACGAAGTATTTCCAAACTTATCATTAAATTTCCCTCATTTTTCTCTCCCTTTTTTTGTGGTGCACTATAATCCTATTGAATAATTCCTCACATGAAAAGAAAATATTTCCTCAACATAACTAAACAAGTTTAGATAAAAAAAAATTCCAGAATTCCAGTCACTATTTTATCACAAGACACCTGCTCCTAATGGACGAGCGAGAGTTCCTGTTTCTGCTTACATTTTTGTTCCTCTTCGGCTGCATAACAAATCCCAATTGTCGTCATCTAATAGTGCCTGAAGTGAAAAAAAAATAAACGAGATGTACCCACGAAATATAATTAAGAGTTAAGAGTATATATAATCAAATTAAGTAACCGAGATCGCAAACTGAGCGATCCTTCAAATAGGAACCTCTCTCAAGTTAATTGGAAAGTAGCCGTCAATTCTCACACTAATAACAAACTACTCCGCATTGCTTGTCTGGTCTACAATAACAAAATATTCTGTATTTCCATATTTCCATATCTTCAGTTTCAATTTCTAATACATTATTTTATTATTTACAATATTACAAATTAATACATTTAATTTGATATACCACTTTTTCCCCTGAAGACAGTCCATTTGATTATATCTCAGAAAGATACGTTACAATTTTTCATCACACTGCAGCCGCAATGCTCCTGGTAATTCCATATAATAGCTATAGCAAATTCATGGAATATCTGTTTACTCTATACACCTATTAATAATTAAGGTATTTTAATAATTTACAGATTTTTTTTATAACTTCCCAGACTGGAATTTATTTAGATCCTGTTTATTGTCTCCAAGAATTATTTCTGCCTGAAAAGTGATTCCAGTCAAATTAAGTGTGAAATTTTTAGGATAATTATTGTACATTAAACCTGACACTTTGTTAATTTTTTCCCTTTCAATATATGAGATGAGAGATAAGAAAGAAGTTAGAACCACCCACCTGAACACTGTTAATATATACTATAGCCTAAATGACGACTGTATCTAAAAGATAGATGTGCTCTTCTTTAACCTTAATCTGCTGAATATCTTAAAATGGACTTGTCCATCTTTCAACTGGACAAAACCATTTATAACTTCCAGGGAAAATTTCAAAATATCATTATGTACTGATTGAATAGTAAACAGTGCAGACCATGATCAGATGGCACTAATGTGCTGGCTGATTCTGGTCTGCACTGGTTGCAGTGGTAGATTTAAATGGACAAGATCATGAAAGGTTTGGTTTAACTAATCTATAATCAACAACCAGTCATATCAAAATGGAACAAGTTACCATCAAACCATAGATCTAAATTACCCTAGACTTTAGGTAAAAGCTTTGACTTGAGTATGTCAATTAAAGAACCTGCAAAGTGAAAAACATATTATGCTATCTGAAAATAGCAGATAGGTATATATTAATTTTAATATATGTATGTCAACATTTTTAAGGGTGCATACATTACCACTCAAAGCCTTTTATGCATTAATGCCAAAACTTTCAAATCACTTTTGTTAATCTATAATTCCAAAACAATTTAAAATGTTTTGATAAGTAATAAATAAGTAATTATCAGTGAATGCTATTTTAGGAAAACATTTGATTCACGCATACAGGTAAGCTATAAATATAGATGTAGACAATTTAATGTAATTTTTTCCAAGAAAAGGTTAATTTCGGTCTCATTGCTGCAAAAAAAAAGCCATCTCTGGAAGTATTTTGTTTCAATTAGGGAGAAAATTGTCAACTGCCGTGACAGTTTTGCCAGTTAATTAAGCAGTCTGGACCCGGCTCAGATTGGTTTCCAACAGGAATTACTTGTAACAATCAATACCAGTTGCTGTTACTTATACCCTAAGCAATCTAAATAATTTTATTTGTATTGAACCAGTGTCCATACTTAGACATATTGTTGGCTATAATTTGGGATATTCTGTTACTGAAAGGTTTTTGCGTTTGTCATAAATGATGCCATTTAAAAATCGTGATAGGAATATCTCTACAAAGACCATAGAAACAGTACTGATCTATCTCCTTTATAACTGCTTTGTTTTACTCAAGTAAACATATGTATATCGTCACAAAATATGGTTAAAAAAAAGGGGGTAAAAGTTACTAATTTTCTGTCAGTCTGACAATGATACATTGTATTTATTTATTTCAAGAAATCACTTGTCAGTTTCTTATCCGAGGGATAGTAAGGCCACCACCATGTTGCCTCATCAAAACTACACAATGGGTTAGTTCAAGGAAATGGACCCGAAAGTGGTTGAAATGGACTCGAAAGCGCAGCAAGCCTTCTTCACAATCTACATGTAACTATAGTAACAAATGTCTAGATCAAACATTATACAAACTTTCATGAATTGGCAACATGATATCTGTATTGTTATCCAATATCCTTTTTTAAAATTTAAAGCAAAGTGATTTGTTTTTTTCTTGTCATTTATTAACACCTGGCTTATATGGAATTAATGTGAACTGTATGACATAAAGTGATAATCAGTTACCAGGGAAAAGGCATTTATCTTCCAAACTAATTAAAGGCATTCATATTGATTTCCCTTCAGAGAATTAAAGCATAACGTAGAGGACTTATTATATATTTTAAATTGACAAGCGATATCTCTTCCTAATATTAAATTCTTTTAGACCTTCTTCAAACAATTACAGATGACTCTTTTTCAAAATGTCAAAAGGATATTTTTTTAATTTTGCTTCTTGAATAATTGGGGAAAAAATCTCTTAACATGATATATATTTGAAATTAAAAACTCATTTAAATCTTCAAATATTCTCAGAAATGAGATATGAGCCGCGTCACAACAAAACCAACATAATGGGTTTGCGACCAGCATGGATCCAGACCAGCCTGCCCATCCGCGCAGTCTGATCAGGATCCATGCTATTCGCTAACCAACCCTATTACAAATAGAGAAACTGATAGCGAACAGCATGGATCCTGATCAGACTGCGCGGATGCGCAGGCTAGTCTGGATCCATACTGGTCGCAAACGCACTATGTTGCTTCTGTCATGACACGGCTCATATAGTTTTCTGAACATATAAATATTTTTGCCTTAAAGAATTAGCATCAATTCCAAGAAGGAAGAAAACAAAATTGCAGTAAGACATCATTCAAATGTCTGCATTTCAACAAATTTTGTTAAATCAATATAGGAGAGTAGACATAAATATTTTCTAATAGTAATGGTCAAAACTACAAAATGTACAAAGAAAAGGGAAGAAAAATGGCCATTTAATATGTTACATTTAAATTCCACAGTAGCATAGATCTGGTAAAAATTTCTTACAGATATATTTCTTAAAAGGGACTAAACTGTCTAATAATGCTGCTTTTTAGAAATGAGAAACATAAACCAGTTGTTAGCTTTTGCCATCAGTATTGTGAGTGAGGGTCAGGCCTCCCTACTCAAATGTGCAGTCTGACCAGGCTCTAAACTATTCTCAGATAATTTGTTTCAAACTCAAATGGACTGTTCCAAATTCAAAGCACTGGGCAAATCCATTTCAATGTCAATGCCATTAATAGTAAAGAGTAGGTGTACCTCAGGTGATATACATTATTTAATTTTAACCAGGCTATTTAAATTAATGAGGACTTCTATTTTAATGCACTACAATCTCATTCTATAGAGGGAATGGCATTTAAAACAAACTTAGTTTCCCAAGTTAAAACAATAAACAATCAAACTATTTGATCTTGTAAGCACTTTAACTGAAATGCCTGAAACATAGCAAAACATTTTGGAAAGATAAAACACTCATAAATCAATGACACACTATCCACAAAACTGCCACCTATTTATCTACTGCATACCTGAGCTACCTGTATAAATAGTATCATTCTCTCAAGACATTTTAAAATTTCAACACTCTAAAGACAATATCTTCAGGAGCTATATTTGCCACTTGATGAAAGTTTCATCAACTAAGGTTAAAAACAACTCTTTTTATAATTCAGATGTTGAATAACTACGGAGGTGCCATTTTTAACCTTTGCAAAAAGAAGCTACAGGTTATTGATACAAACAACCTAATGAAAATAATCAATAGTAAACATTTTCAAACCAAGTACAAGTCACACATTCTTTGTTTTTGTTTTGAATTTAAAGCAGCATGCCTTCAGATTTATGCTACTTTTTCATGAAAATTTCGAACATGTATTTTAAAGTAAAATATTGTGATGTAAACAAAGAAAGTACCTTTCACTTGGATAGGGTCATTTAAAATCCAAGTGAATTACCAAAAGGAGGTCAAAATATGCAAAAATAGCCACACAGTAAGAATAGGATGATAAATGCTGTAATATCGCTCATTAATCGCACATTAAGTTACTTGAATCTTGAATAACTGTACTATTTTTTTTTAAATCTTGGTACATTTTTCTCAAGTTTGATTTTCTTGGAACATTTTTGCTCAGCTTTAACCTGATCACTCGAGATTGTCAACTCTTATGAGAATTGACACATTGTGGTTTCAAGTGGCTGTATCAACACAATCCATGGATCACCGGTTTGAGCACTCCAACAATATCATAACATATTACTTCATTACAGGAAAACAGTGCTCATAAGTCCAAGATGGGGAACACAAGTGATTAAAATATTAACGTAAAATTGTGTTTAATAAAAGAAATTGTAGACATGACCAATTATTGTCCTAATTAATAGACAAGAGATACCAAACATTCATAGAAAAGTTGGAAAGTCTTCAATTTTCATAGAAAAGTTGGAAAGTCTTAAATTTTCATAGAAAAGTTGGAAAGTCTTCAATTTTTTTTCTGTTATGAAACGTTTTTTGATCAAACTAGGGATAGGTGAGAAAACTATTTTAAACAGCAAAATAGTTTGAAGAAATGATTGTTTTTGTAACAAATCTTCAATTAGTACATCTCAAAACTTTCAATATTACATATTTTGATCATGAATCGCAAGCTTACATGTATTACAGTGAGTATAAAGCAATTCCATAAGAAACCTGTGACTTTCATCGTCTTTTTTTATTTCTCTTTAAAATTTAAAGTAAGAAAGATAGGAACGAAAAAAATAAAGTTTTAAAATATGACTAAGATTAATAACCTGCTGTTGAATACTTATCCTGCCAAAACAATTATGAATAGGGGGGTCTTGAATTCTGATTATCCTTTGATAACAGACTTTTTTTTCACTCAAGATAAAAACATCTAACAAATATATTATTGTGTATGAGAACTTAAACCCAACTGATCTAAGAGTAAATATATTTTTCTATGTTTATTCAGACTCCTGATGTATGATTCAAACATCATGATGTTGTAATGAATGAAGGATATTGAGTTGCATCATTCTGGCAAATAAATCCCATAGACTTGGAAAAGTCACCACCACAAGCCAAAAACTTAAGTTATTTTTATTCCCGCTCTCCTCTGACTAATCCATGAAAAAATGCTTCGGTTAGAAATTATTATTCATTCCTCCTGCTGGGCATGGTTATTTTATTTCAAGAGTTGAGATAGTGTATGACAACATATTTTAAAGAGAGGTCTACCAGTACAATATTTATATATTTTTTAGATGGCTAGCACACAAAAATATTGTTAATGTGGCCTAAAAGGTTTACGTTTTGTTTTTTTAACAAATTTTTATATAAGAATTTTGAATCTCAAAATTGAAATAAAATTCATTTGTGTAAATTATCATACATTATACAAACATGAGGTAACCTTTAATTAAGATATACTGTATTCAATAATTATTAATAAAAAGTAATTTATTACTAAACTGTATTCAATAATTATTAATAAATAATAGTACATTACAGGCCAAGTTACAGAGAGCAATCACAATATATAATTAGGTTTTGAAATAAAACATTTGTCTGCATGTGACACATATTATCACATAAAGGGGAGTGCCAGCCTAGTGGTTAAGGTGTCTGCCTCTCAACCCAGGGATCATGGGTTCGATCCCTAACCAATATGACATCAGTTCTGGTTAGTTCTAGGAAGCAGATCCAAAGTGATAAATATATGTTGCAAGAACTTGTTTCCCAATCAAGCTTAAATGAAATACGTTTAAACCAATATTAAAAAGACGGAAATCAGGCACAGGCACATGTATAGCATTAGTCCTATAAAGTGACTATGAACAAATTTTCCATACAGGTAAACTTATTTTTATTTGTTAAATGTTGAACTTACACAAACAGAAGGGTTTTTTAACAGACTGCTGGTTCATAATGTAAATTTATTGTATGTGGATTTTTTTTATCACACCTTATCCGTTCTAAACAGGTAGCTAAATTATGAGTATTTTAAATTATTATCAACATCTAATCAAGAATCCAATGGAAAAAGCAGAGGATGACATATTAGATAAGTTACACTAAAACAAATTAATCAAGACTTATCCTAAACAATATCAAACAATTACAACATTCCCAGATTCATAACACACTTACTGACATGTACATATGATATCAAATATAGGTTAGTGTTTTTAAGTATTATGCAAATGTCACGGTTCAGAACTGTACACTATTTTAGGGAGAAAATGTGTTGTGGCTTGACAACTCAGTCGGTTAAGCCAAGGAATGGCATTCCCATGGTCCTGGGTTCAAGCGCCAGTCAGGATGCAGATTTTTCTCACCCTGTGACATTTAGCGCCCAATGGGGGACCATGACTGCAAATAGTTCAAAGTTTAAATCACATTTCTCTGCAACCTGAGAAATTCGAGTATGAATGTTCATTGAGCTGTGGTTCAGAACTGTGGACTATTATAAAATATGTAAGCTGACGAACAGCTCAGTCTGTAGAGCTGTGGAAGGGTATCCCAATCAAGTCCCAGTCCGGCTGTATATTTTTCTCAACCTAGCTGTGACACTAATAAAAAAACCCAACAACAAATAAAAATATTAATTTCAGTTTGACTTTAAGTATTCACTTACTCATAGCTTTAATTATCATTTGTCAACAGTAATCTTAAATCAATGTTTCCTGAAAGCAGTTTGTCAAAATAAAAGGGAGTTACTTCTTTCACTAATACAGCTAGACATAATATCTTTGTGAAGATGGTGAAGATATTTTATGTGCTGTAAATAAAATGTAATTTGACTGTCATAATATAATTTCTCATACAAACTTATCAAAACATTATTCACTGAAACTGACTGGAATCTGACCCGAACTGAAAGTTGTCACTACTCGTCAATCATTCCTGCTAGATGACTTGATACAGCAGTTCTATATAGATAAAGATCTACATGTATGTGTTCAGTTTATATTATCAATGTAATAATTATGGTTTATTTTAAGACAGTAAAAACTAATGTCATATTCATTTCATTTCTGTTACTAATCATTATCTATTGAACTATTTTAAACAACATAAACAAGACCCGGAATTATAAATCTATAATTAAATGTAGATTTGCACATATGAACTCCCTTCTGAACAGGTGCAAATCAAACGAATTCACCAGAGTTCAAAACAAAAGGTGTGCAGTTTCTAATTGGGCGAAACGACATAGTTTTTACAAAAAATACTTGTCAACCAAAAAAGATAAAGATTCTTACAGCACGGTTGTAATAACTTCAACAATTTCGTCACATTCTTGTCTGTTTCATTCATAATAAAAGTCGAAAAAGTTTTGTCAACATTATCCCTCTTCTTGACAGTTCTCTACACATGTTTCTGACGTACCGGTCACGTGATACACAAAAACAAAATGGAAGCAAATTGACAAGTGCTCCACTAATTAGATGAAAATTTCTTATTTTTCTAGTGATTCAAGTCACGATTTGTTTTAAAACATATATGTGTTACGTTATTGATATAAATGTTACCTGTTTTTAGTTATATTTAATAGGAGTTTTCTCAGTATTCGATGAAAATCGATTCAAGGGGGAAATAAATTGTTGAAACCAGCAAATTTCAGTTTTTCAGTGAGTCACAACTAGACAAGCAGGATGTCTGACCAATCCAACGACATGTATAATGTTCCACTATCAAGTGATAGTGATGCAGGTATCATAATGTTTTGCCTCCGTTATATTTTTTGTAAGGACTTTCTAACATCCTGAAATTTTTATCATTCATCTAGGGATTTATCTGTAGATTTTCAGATAATTTCTTATTACTTCATTTACTAGTGTCCCATTTGTTTGGGTTCTTAAAAGGGTACGTGGGGCTGGTTTCACAGAGATCATTTCAGAAAATTGTTTATAAAATTTACATAATGGCAAGACTTGAAAAGACTTTAGTTTACAAAATATTGTACTAATATTTATAGGGGGTCACCTTAAAGCGAAATTAAGCCTTTACTAACAGTAAAATATGTTACCTTCAGATAAATCGGTTCATTTCAATGTCAAAACAAAGGAATTATGGAAGAAAACTAACTTTGTAGCAGCTTATAAGCTAAAACGTTGTCTCTAATTTAACAGTCGGTCCACTCTCTAAGGCGATCAATTCACTTCGCATAAACGCTGTGAGCATTGTTAATGATCACTCAAATTTATGACATGTATACATATTCCCTCCCCCCACTGGTTTCCTTCTGTGCTTCCCGACAGAACAAAATGATTTTACCACCAGTAATCCCTTAAATACCTAATTTACCGTGAATATATGTTTGCAACTAAGGATATTTTTCTGTGAAATAAACACTACAGCTATTTTGTTACCTCTCATTCAGTACTTGTGTTTTCTACATCGGCAATTGTTATTGTTGTTGACGAAAACTTGTGTAATATGCTCGCTTCCAATCTTCTGTTTCTAAATGTGACGTATGTCACTGAAACATTATATATAGCTCTCTGGGTACTGGTTTAAAAAGGCTTATCAGTGTTACGGTGTAATTTTTGAAAATTAAATCACCAATATATATATTTTGAAAGTATATATTATTGGTTTTTCTAAAGAAAATGTAGTCTTAAATATCCATTTAAACTGGATCTGTCAACTTTTAGGCAAAATCCTGGTAGAAATTCAAGAGCAAGTTGTCGATGCTAGTATTAGACCAATAGCCGAAGAAGTTTAGGAATTATTTTAAATATTAACTTACTTTTTACCAGATTTAAAACAAAGAAAGCCATCATAAATTGAATCTGCCTTCAGGCAATCATTAATTTCATTTAGTGCTAGAAGAGTGTGAAAATTATCGCATAATATGAGGTTATCAAGTCTATAGGAATCAGTGATTGTTCCAGCACTTTTTAGCAAACAAAATGGCAATTTGTCCATTGTAAATGTCTATTCTAAATATGCTTTTCTGTGACAGATTGAATTAGGAAACCCTTTATCTTTTTTAAAAAATAGAAAAATCGATAACAATTTTGTTGATTTCAATAATCCCCACCCACCCGGAAAGTAACATGGAAATAATTATGCCATGTAATAAAATGATGTCTGTTTTATTCCTTGTTTTTTTTTTAAAGATTTATGTGGAGTAATCGGGAAAGAATGGCATTACATGTAAATTATATTACTGCTAGGAAGCCATAGTCATTGACAGAATTTAATGTGGTTTTAAAAAGTCCTGATATAACATATTTTTAATTATAAAGTCTATATCTAAATAATATTATAAAGATGCAAAGTGAAAACTGCACATACATCATGTACATGAAATGTAATGTGATGAAAGTGTGCAAAACACTTTCATTACATTATATTACTTCTTGTTTACTGTAAAATTGTTACATTGCAATGAAATGAAATTAAATACTCTGCATTGTTGCACTGTTGGTTTAAAAAATGACGTGCATGTAAGAAACAAGGAAGATAATCTTATTAACATTCATAAAATTATGGATAATCTGCATTTTGTAAACCATCAATGAAAATTAAAGTTGCATTCTTGTTTGTTTATTACAATTGTATTTTTTGTCAATTTTAGGCGAACTTTCTTTGAGAGGTACTACCTACACAAACCCGACAGATCCACAAAATAACATGATCACTTCAAGCAGTAAGTATGAAGTTTATAATGATTAACCTTTCACCTGCTAGTGGCAACAAACTTTACCCATGTCACATGTGCTGACGAAGATCATGATCCTGGTCTGTACTGTTTGCTATTCAGGTTTTTGTTGTTGTTTTTATTTGGGTTGGGTTTTACATCACACCAACACAGTATAGGTCAGATGGCAACTTTACAGCTTTACTGGTGGAGGAAGACCTCAGATGACCTTCTTTGCATTAACGGGCACATGAGTAGAGCCTGAGTAGTACATATTTTGAAATTTTCATAGAACAATAATGAATTGTTAAGTTCATAATGAAACTGAAAAATGGGTGAGTCTCTTTAGTGGCAAAGATCTTTGCTCAAGTATTGACCCATCTACCGGTAAATGTACAGTATTCAGACAGTTCAAACAGCTACACATTATATATGAGTAATGTTAGCTTTTTTGAAAGTAATTTATTGTTATAAATAATGTAAAAATCAGTCTATTGCATAAATTTCTTATTAAGCTAGGTTTTTGGTTGGTAAGCAAAAATATAATTTTTGTAACAGTTACTGTTTTTAAGTAATAATTACCGGTATATCATAATACTAGAGTGGTTATCAAATGAGTATTACTAGTTTTGAGAAATCCCTTCTATGGCACAATTAAGTCCAGTGAAAAATTAAATTATTATAATGGGCAAGGTACTTGGTAACATAAGCCTTTTAGATGTGTGTCATATTGCACACCCACTGGATTTTATATGATATGATATACATATATTTGGTTTAAATAAATGAATCATAAACTGTTATACATTCACTTGATATATAAGATACTATACAGGTTTTTGTATGTAGTTTTAACACATTGACTGAATCATCTTGCAGGTGTTGATTCTGACCTAAATGGAGACGAGGAGGAGGAGAAACAAAGACTGATTACACAGGTTTTAGAACTGCAAAACACTTTGGATGGTGAGACATCATTCATATATTTAATATGCTAAGTAAAGATTGATAAAACAGATCCATAGCAAAGTTGTTTCCCTTTCATATCATTGCTATTACAAGGTAGCCTCCCTTAAGATTTTATGTATAATACAATGTACATGCATTTCACATTTAATATGAGGTTTTCAATTTTGTCAAGTTTGCAAAAACCCCTTTACTTTTTATTGAAGAAACATTAACTACACAAAAAAAAATTATGGAAAACAATAATTTTTGCACAATCATGTGAAACAAAACTGGATTTTTAGACAGCAAGTGTGAAAATACAAAATTGATCTTCAATCTATTGATTTGTACATTTTAAGGATTTGTTTAAAGCATGTAGCAACCATGTTATTCCCTCAAGGAATATCAAAACATGACTGTATCTGTCATAATGTAATCAAACAATGGTACAAATAATTTAATGATGTTAATTTCAAATGTACCCACAATGTGCAATTTTCATTTGTATTTCTTGTTTAGATTTGTCAAGCCGTGTAGACACAGTAAAAGAGGAGAACTTGAAATTGAAGTCAGAGAACCAAGTTCTTGGCCAGTATATTGAAAACCTGATGGCTGCAAGCAGTGTGTTCCAATCAACATCACCAAAATCCAAAAAGAAGTAGGATTCATCAATTATATCTTAATACAACTTTATCAAACTTTTCAAGTAAATGTAAACTATAACTGAAAACTTTAGTGGTAATTATAAACAGCTTATACTGTTTATTCTGATCAGAATCAGAACTATTGAGAGGTTGATGGTTCTACTGGGGGACCTACTGCTGACTAAAATAATGCACAGAGGTGCACCTTAGGTTTTACTCAATAAGCTTAAAGCTTGGAAGTTGACATATGTTCTTAAATTTGCCAGTGAGACTAAGCCCTTAACCTGCAAGAACCAAACCTGATTAGCCTTTGCTACAAGTATAGAGCCGGGACAGCCTTTACATCTGTGCAGTCTGGGCAATCTGTATACTGTTGGCAAACCAAGTTTAAAGTTTTATCTTGATATCCCCAAAACTGATAATGGAAAGTTCCAAAAATGAAAGCTTGGCAAGTCCATTTAAGACATTTTTCAGGTAAAGGGTTAAACCCAACCAAAAAAATGAAACTGGCCAGATTATACATGAACTATTTGCTTGAAACACAAATCTCTTTTTACAGGTTATGGAAAACAATGAGAAATCATTATTTACAAATTTTGCAGGGCTATTGTTCAAAATAAGAAAACTATTTTCTCATTTTAAAGCTCTTTAGAGGAAAATATTTTATATGGAACAGTCTATTATTTAATGTCAGATTTACCAGCATTGAAAGTTCAAGGGGATTTCAAGATCAAGTATATAAGCTGAGCTGCCAACAGTTTAGAGCCTGGTCGAACTGCACAATTTGCCACCAGTAAAGAAACAAGCCAACCTGCACAATTATTGTTCAGTCTGACCAGGCCCTTTTGCTTTTGGTTCTTGTCGGTTTTATAGTTTATTGCTGCTTAATATATATTGATGTATCAATATTTTGATGAATAGCGATGGACGTTTCTTTATCATAGTAGGGTACTTGTGAGAATGTGCCTAATGGTAAGGTATAAACATAGTTTATTATCATGTTAATGTTCAATATTTTTTCTGCTTTAAGGTCCAGCAAGAAGAAGGAAAAGTGAGAAGGGAGAATCGGTTTGTACACGGACCAAGTGCAATAAACGTTTTGTTGATTTTGTTCAGGAACACCCAGTTTATGTTGTCTCCATTTCATAGCTTCCCAGCTTTATGTTCAAGTTATTGGTTATCTAGTGTATATGAACAGAACAGAACAGGATTTGCGTTATAAATTATAATTGAGCGAGAATTTTTTATTTACTAATAGTCTCACCTGCAAGGAAGTTTTTTACAGGATCATTTAGTATTTTTGTTGTCACTAAATGTTGTCTTCCATGATTTATTGAATATACTTGCTCATAATAAATGTGGATTCAGCATGGCTTAAAACTTCATGCAAATGCTTTGTTTAATTTTGGTTGAAAAAAGTACAAAAATTGATAATTTTAAACATCATCAAATCTTTTTTTTAAGTTTATTGTCAATTAAGTTCTAGCTAGGAAACTTCAAAACATTTGTTTAAATATGTTTACCACAAATTTCCTTTACTATTTTACTATTTCATTACTTTACTATACATCATATTGTTAAAGATTCCGCAAAAGAAAGCTTGATTATAAATAGAAATGAATGTTTTGTTTTTATTTTTCTATACATGAATGAGTGAACTGCAAAATTTTTAGTTTTGTACACTTTGTTTGTTATGAATAATAATTCTCTTGCAAATTCTTGTATGTTATGCCGGTTTCCAAAAAGTACAATAGAATGTGGTTTAACAAAAGTTAAAAAGGCTACAACAAAAGTAAAAGTTTACTTTATTAGATACTATACATACAACAATTGATATTGTAATTTGCTGGGAAATTCACATACATGTATTTGGAAGAAAGCAAAGAAGTAAAAGCATTTAATTGACTATTGAATTATGAATGTTATAAAATGATAAGACAACCCTGGTTGTGCAATCCTATATTTACTATTTGTTATATTATTATATATTTAGATATTATATTAGTATTTGTTGGTTTTTTTTTTTTAGGGTTTTTATTTTTTGCTACTTGAACCAGTTTTAATCCTTCACCTTGAAAATGATGTTACACAGACATTCAGAGCCTCAATTATTATTGACTTAATTATTGTTGTTACATTAATTACTGCTATGCCCCCAAAATTTTTCATATAGAAAATAGAAAATAATTATAGTTAAATATTTATCGGTCCCTCCATCAGTCTTACTGTTTCTATTAGAACCTCTATTTATTGTAAGTTTCTGGAAAGTTCTATTGGATGCCCGCTGGAGCCGGGGAAAATGCAAATACCTTCATCTGGACAGGCTTTCATTAATGTTCTCAAAGTCAAAATCTCAGCTTAGCAACTCAGAAACTGAGATTGAGATTTTTCTCAGTTTGTGATTAGTGAAAGCCAAACCTGAGGTCTCAATCTAGCATTTTAGCCGAAAGTCGCCATATGAACTTTATAGTGTATTGACTTTAATCCCAAGAAATTAATATATTTGGTGTTTTAATAGAAATGTATCTCGTCATAGGGTTCAGAAAGGTTGGGTGCGTGTTAAAGTCACTGGGTCAAACAATAGATTTTTCCAGATCCACTTAGCAAAGCCATGTTTTAACTTTTATCAAAGTGACATTAGAGGTATACATTGTGAATACTAATATTCTTGTTGTTGGCAAGCTTTCGTACTAGTGTTCATTATCTATTGTCAATAATTTTCTTGTTGATGTTGAAGAGCAGACAAAACCTTTTTGTATTTCCAAGTTTTATTGAACTTGTATACGACTTTCTTAATTTTAAGCCTCTTTTTTTTTTTTTTTGAAATATTTTTAAGTGAAATAAATTATTAAAGAAATTTATGTGTTAGTTATATATGCCTTGATAATCACAACCCATTTTGCAGATGCTGCAATGTTATAAAAGAATGTTCAGTTGCTTTGCACAAATTTGCACAATAAACCATTATGACATGAATGGTATTAACAGGTAGTAGTTTCTTTGAATAGCAGTAAGTTTCCAGTCAATACTTTAAGGAATTGTTATTACAGTGGTAGTCCAAAGTGGCTGGTGGGGTATCATCATTGTCCGTGTGTAAAGCCTCTTAACGTATTTGTATTTTTCTGTACCGAAACTATTGTCACTGGACATCTAGTTCTTATAAACATCACATTAACTCATTGACTATGTTTTTGTTCTTAGCTACCTTTGATACTGAATTCAGCCTCGGTCCCCAACAATTATGATGCAAGAGATGAGCGAAAAATAGAATATAAACTTGTCTTCCAATTATTAGTCTGGTTGCAGATAAGATGTTTGATTTTTTAGGAGGCTATGATGTCATACCATCCCACATTATATATATATATTAGCATAAAATAGCTTAGTAACTGTTAGTAGGTATTTCCCAATGGTTTTGTAAATTTCTAAGTGAAATACAATGATTTTTTTTATCGTTTTTGTTTGACAAATATTTTTTGTATTTTATGTAATTTACCTACCATAAATAAAAACTAGCCGTCGGGTTGGCTCAATAGTAAGTTTTGGACTGTCAAGCTGACCGTGCAGGTCACTTTCATTGAGATTGATCATGGAATCCTTTCTACAGTCATTCACACTGTACCTGCGCTCTGGCATGTACAGAAATTATCAATTCCTTGCTTAAGTGAAGGTAAACTGCTTGACAGCCTGCCCAGGAACGATGCGGTGACTGAACTTTGCTCTGGTAAATTCAATGTGGCTTACTGTCATGGAGTGAAAACTACCAACATCACCACCAGACTCAGCAGTTTGTTACAAGGAACCATTGCCTGGAAGTTACTACTACATGACTGAAGAGGAAGAGGTGCTCTTGAAACAGACATGCATCTCTGCCTTTACCATATTTCGTCAAGAACAAATTTTAATAGGTTAACAATACGTGACCTCATTGGCAGGATATGCGAAATGCATAGGGTACATGTACTTGATACAAACCTCACCCATCATAAACAGAACAGATGCTATATTGCAAAGCTCATGTAACTTTACTCAGAATACTGGCAGGGATAGTCATCTCCTACCGGTAATACCACCAGCACAATCTTTACTCCTGGTAAACAACTGTGGTACAGTGCATGTGGTAAATTACTCACACTACTTCCAAGCTAGTGCATGTTGCCAAATTTTAGTGTCAACAAAGATACTATGTTGTCTAGAGAGCTTTCTCCTTTGTGACATGACTACTTCCTTTATAACCAGTCTTGTAGAATAAATAAATTATATAATTTATTTCCTTTAACTACTAGTTTTTGGTCAGATTTAAAATTTTAAATTATGAATTGCATTTGAGCCGCAACATCCATTTGAAATGTTTTTAATCTGGATTGCTGTCTAAATGGAAATACAAACAATAGCATTTCTTTCATGATGAAACTGTTCATTTTAACCCTAAATTTGCCACAACTAGAGTTTAAACAAAAATTCATCAACTTAACGTTTCCGGAAATTTTATTCAAATCTACACTGTATAGCATTCTTTGATTTCTGATTTTCTATGTAAATTTTACAAAAATATATTGCACAATAATGTACATTTGTCGACACTAAACTTTGGTGAAATGCGCTTGCTCGGAAGTAGCGACATTGCGGTTTACTGTTTACTTCCAAAAGAGATAGCTCTGCTGTTTACCAGACATGAATAATGTCATCCCTGATCAATCTTGCTTTGTTCTTCTAAACTTATACAATAACTAAAATATGCACAACCCATTACTTCAACAGGACAAGCAAATGGTCCATATAGATAAGAATGTTTAAATACCACATATAGTTAACATTCAGGGAAATGCTGTTTACCACTTCTTCCAATATATGTGAAGTAGTCTATTGCCGACGAGTTCAGTACAATAACCCTAGATCCTGTAATAAATATGCATCAAACGAAACACAAAGCTGGAAATTGGTGCATAGGAATTTGATACCCCAACATTATACTGTTTTTGTCAACTATGGGCAACTGTATTTATCTCTCTATTCTTCTTTTTAGCCACACAAGGGAAAATAGCCACATAAAAGCCATACAAAATAAATAACATCAAAGAAAATTTAGTTTCCCTGTTGTTCCTCAAGCTATGTAAGTATCCAAATGTTAGCTCGACTGAGCAGCATGATGGACAACCAAGGGCAAATCTGTGTATCCCTATGTAGTGGATGCATAAAAAATAAGATAAAAGCGTTGTTTTTTTCTCTGTTGATTGTTTATTTTATATTAACATGTTGATGAAACATGCACAATAATTGCAACATACATGACAACATGTACTAACACAATTTACATATGAAATCATTACAAAATTGATTAATACATTTAACTCCTTTCATTGAATTTAGTAATTTGGATGTTACACCAACTTTTTATTATTAAACAAAAAAATTTGAAATTGACTAAACTGGTTTAATTTTATCATCTAAGGCAGTATATATAACATATAAATCAATGAAGTAGTGTATTAAATGCCTAGCACTCTTTTTTTTTCTCACCAACTCAACTTACGGTTTCAAGCTTTGTTAACAAATGAAGATGCAAATTCATTCAGTTCTACTGTATTGTTCTACTGTATTGTATGTTTTAACAGACTAGGTTATATTTTATATCTGAAGAGCCATAATTTACTTGAAGTTAACTGACCAGGGGTTGAAATACATTGTTTAAAATACACAAGGTTTTATATTTATTAAATTCCAGTGAAATGGCTGCATTGATTTATGCATGATTTAAGCAAGTTTACTTGGCTAAGTTTTGTATTGTACAAATAATTAAAACTTAACAGCATACTTTACGCAATTAATTTCCTTGTAGAATTCCTGCTGCAGCCCAAAAAATACAAGAAATTGAAGAATACATCATAAATTTGGAATATAATATTCAGAATTGTCAAAACAGCAGATAGAATGTCACAAAAGACTTTGCATGTCAAAAGAAATAAAACAGCCGTATTTCTGAATAAATGCTATTCTAAACCATTTCAAAATTCAGCAACAGTCCATAAAAACTTGGCTATATAAACCAGAATTCAAGTACTATCCTGCACAGTCAGTCTACCCTGAATATTTTACCAATACAGATAGTAACAATCCTATTGAGTATTAACAATAAACTGCAATGTAGTAAAAACTAGATTCTTTTCTATTGTTGGTAAAACAATATATATATTCAATTTGGTTAAAATGAACAAATATTCACCAGGAAAAATGGGCCTGCATAGTTTTTTTTAACATTTCAAGCTAGAAATAGCAATGCAATACAAAATGTATGTGTCTTAATATAGATATACATACATGATTGTTGCCAGTGATGTAAATCTTTCAACAATTCAGTCAAGAATTAAAACATTCTTTTATGTGATATGTTGAATAATTATATTCTGAAACATGTGTATTGTAGAGAAAATATGCTTAACGTCTTTAATACCACAGACAAATAAAATTACCATTAAAACAGAAACAAAACATTTGTATTTTAAAAAAACTAACACAAACAAATAAACACTGATCAATCAATTCTTAACTATCCATAATCCAGTGTAAGTCAACACACAGTGCAAAAGTATTACTTTGATAATATGAAATACCTGCATTGCCTCAATGCAAAAAGTTCAATCGCAAACATCTAATATTTATTCTTAAATCAATGTGCAATTTGAACCATGAATACATTCTTTAAATATCTGAAACTGTAGGATTTCAGACGAGCGAGATGACAGGTTTTTTTTGTTAGGACTTTCCCTGAGCCTAACTTTGTAGATAGTTTGCAGCAAATTTTCAGTGATATGCCTTAGTCCAGAGTAATAAATACAAATATTAACCTAGTTTTATTAAAGTGACAAATAAAAACTATTCTATTGCAAAATGTTCCCTTTTTAAATGAACTGTCATAATGATTACTGTTTCTCATTTGTAAATTAATTAACTCCAGCGGAATCAAAACTTGTCTGGTGATTTTGTTCGCCTTTTTCATTCATTTAGCACTCACATAGCATCGAAAAATGAAAATATAACTTCATTAAATACATGTAGTGTCGTACAGCTTATCACAAAAAAGCTTAATATATAAACATGTCTTTCACTGTCGATACAATAACAAATGTTAAAGACTCGAATAATTTATTGATTCTAAGCATAATTATTGTTCCATTAATCTACGTCCATATCAGCTGGACCGTTAGGTTTTGCATCACCTGCTGGCGAGTCTTTCTTCTCTTCGCCTTTTGTTTCTGCTTTATCTCCCTTCTTCTCATCTTTTTTCTCGTCTTTCTTTTCGTCTTTTGGTGGTTCCTCTTTCGGCTTTGGTTTAGGTTTGTTAATTATTGGATTACATGTTGTATCTAAGCTCTAGAATGGACAGAAAATGTAAAAGATTTAAATGGTAGTCAATCAATGATAAATCTATACATCTTTATAACTTACCTTTATAACTAAACAATAATTAATAAATAACACTTATTTTTTTAAATGAGGGTTTTCATTTTTAACTGAGGCAACAGATGTGCCAGTGAAAATAACCGATTTGGTCAAGGGGGACTTTATAATCTACAGGCTTAAAGTACAACTGATTTTAACAACATTTCAAACAATAATAGATCGTCAATCTGTTTATAATGAAAACCTTGGTACTTTGGGAGCAAAAGAATTCAATCTGAGCTTTAAAAATCCTGAAACACTGCGATTGTATGCCATTTTGATAAAGAAGACCAGGTCCATAAAAAATTTTTACTGCAGGTAACTAATAGAACCTTGATAGTCTAAATATTAATTCATAATCTCAACTACTAGTATAATGGTAAATAAACATTAAAATCTTAACTTGTGAGCAGAAAGCATCTAGTAATTATAGCATGTGACCTTTTTCATGACATTAACATTCAACTTCAACAACAAGCAACCTACCTGTCTAGTATCTCTAATTTGAACTGTTAATACAGTTGGATTTTCATATTTTTTCAACTTGTTCTGTGCATTCATTTGTTTATCAAACCACTCTTGTTTCTCCTTCAAACATTTTTTCACTTTGTCAATGTCTGCTTTTTCTAAGTGCTCAAACTTTTCATCTTTTGCCTCTACGGCATCCAGGAATTTTCTTACATGCTGTAAACCGGCACCTAACTCATTGAAAGCTGCAGGTCTCTCATTGAACTCTTTATATCTTGTTGCAATTGGGTCACCAGATTTCTGAAAATATTCATAAAATCATTATAGTTTGTATCCAGAGCTGTCATTGATATAGTGCAAAGCATACCAACGATATATTGATTGGATGACAAAATTAAATTTAATATCAACCACCTGTATATTGATAATTACTTATATTACATGTCTATAATTCACTTTCATACATGTTTACTTAATTTCAGTAAAAAAACATAATTATTCTGTTCATATAATTATGACGTGTCTCGTTTATAAATGCCAATGGCATGACTTTTTATCCTCATTACTGCTATGAAACATGTTCATATAAACATAACAACAGCATAATTTAAACATGGACATTTGCTTCTGTATATGTTTTGGGTGAATTTTCATAATTTTCTACATTTTAAATGAATTAGTATAAAATTACTGATATTTTCAAATGTGTAACAATTACTGATTAACAAGTAATTATCAACGATACGATATTTTTCTATCGATGATAGCTCTATTTGTACCATTGTATCACATAATCATAGTATAACAGTAACTCAAAGACAACCTGTCTCAAGAACAAATCTTTCTACAGAGCTATTTTGATAAAACACCTTTTAAGATCAGAATCTGCCCTGATATAAATCTTCATTTCTAACATCAGATATCAGAATCATCATTTCAACCCATATCAATTCTTGAAATATGGTATACTTCATGTTTTTCTTCTAAAAAATATTTTGTATCTAAATTTAGAAAAAACATCTTTTAGAAGATCAGAATCTGCCCTGATAAAACTCTTCATGTCAACATCAGATATCAGAATCATCATTTCTATTCTCAGCAAGGATATCTTTATTTTCACTAACTTCAAAATACTTCAAAACCACATCCCAGTCTTCAGATACTCTAACTCAATATTAAATGAAATGTTTTGAGATCAGAATCTGCCCTGATATAACTACATTTATAAATCAGATATCAGAATCATCATTTCTGTCTTTCAGGAGGAAACCGAAAGTACATAAATGATTTTGTCCATATGCCAACACTTTATATGTAAATTTTAGGTGTTCAGAATTGTTCTAAATCAACATTTACAAAATGTAACATTATCCAGGATCAGAATCTGCCCTGATATAATTCTACATTTCAAATATCAGATATCAGAATCATCATTTCCATCTTATTTGCTCTGCAGTTTTGAACAGTTTTCATGTTAAAATTTCATTGTACTGAAATGTATTAAAGTTTCTGGAAAATTTTCTTGAAGATCAGAATCTGCCCTGATATAACTCTCCATTTATAAATCAGATATCTGTCTAAATCATAATTCACACAAATTTTCCTATTAATACCATGTACAGGTTCAATTTCATTACATGTTAATTTAAATAAATTTTCTTGAAGATCAGAATCTGCCCTGATATAACTCTCATTTATAAATCAGATATCAGAATCATCATTTCTCCCTAAATCATATAATTCACACAAATTTCATATTAATCCCATGTACAAGTTTTATTTCCATACATGTAAATTGTATTTCAATATCTTATACAGAACTAATACATATTGACCATGTTAATTCTTTATAAACACATCATGACCCTATAAATTATAAAGAGATCAGAATCTGCCCTGAAAAAGTCTTCATTATAACATCAGATATCAGAATCATCATTTCAATATCTTATACAGAACTAATACATAATGACCATGTTAATTCTTCATAAATACATCATGACCCTATAAATTATAAATAGATCAGAATCTGCCCTGATAAACTCTTCATTATAACATCAGATATCAGAATCATGATTTTAATATCTTATATGAAACTAATACATAATGACCATGTTAATTCTTCTAAATACATCATGACCCTATAAATTATAAAGAGATCAGAATCTGCCCTGATAAACTCTTCATTATAATATCAGATATCAGAATCATCATTTCAATATCTTATACAGAACTAATACATATTGACCATGTTAATTCTTCTAAATACATCATGACCCTATAAACTATAAAGAGATCAGAATCTGCCCTGATAAACTCTTCATTTCACATCAGATATCAGAATCATGATTTTAATATCTTATATGAAACTAATGCATATTGACTATGTTAATTCTTCTAAATACATCATGACCCTATAAATTATAAAGAGATCAGAATCTGCCCTGATAAACTCTTCATTATAACATAAGATATCAGAATCATCATTTCAATATCTTATACAGAACTTTTACATATTGACCATGTTAATTCTTAACAAACACATCATGACCCTATAAATTATAAATAGATCAGAATCTGCCCTGATAAACTCTTCATTATAATATCAGATATCAGAATCATCATTTCAATATCTTATACAGAACTTAAACAAATTGACCATGTTAATTCTTCATAAATACATCATGACCCTATAAATTATAAATAGATCAGAATCTGCCCTGATAAACTCTTCATTATAACATCAGATATCAGAATCATCATTTCAATATCTTATACAGAACTAATACATATTGACCATGTTAATTCTTCATAAATACATCATGACCCTATAAATTATAAAGAGATCAGAATCTGCCCTGATAAACTCTTCATTATAACATCAGATATCAGAATCATCATTTCAATATCTTATACAGAACTAATACATAATGACCATGTTAATTCTTCATAAATACATCATGACCATATAAATTATAAATAGATCAGAATCTGCCCTGATAAACTCTTCATTTCACATCAGATATCAGAATCATCATTTCAATATCTTATATGAAACTAATACATAATGACCATGTTAATTCTTCATAAATACATCATGACCATATAAATTATAAATAGATCAGAATCTGCCCTGATAAACTCTTCATTATAACATCAGATATCAGAATCATCATCTTTCAAACAAAATCAACAAAATTTAAAAAATAAAAAAGTTAAAATTTCTTAAAATAATAATGAAAAATTTAAAAGAATCAGAATCTGCCCTGATAAACTTTTCATTTAAAATAGATATCAAAATCATCATTCTATTTATTACAGAAAATCAAAACCCTTTAACTTAAATAAACATTTTGACCCGTAAATTAAAAAATAGTCTTGCCCGTTTAATAAACCTTCTTCCCCATTATCAGGATCATCTCGTTTAAAACAAAAATAGAGAACATAATGCATACCATTAACTGCGGGCCAAAGGGGGCTGACATTTTAACCCCTATGTTTGCTGAGATTTGTTTTCTTTAAATAACCTCAAAGCTTCACGAATTTTAAAAGGATCAGAATCTACCCAGGTAAAAAATCTTCATTTCTTATTTAAATCATATAATATCAGAATCATCATTTGAATATTAACAAATTTATAAACAACTGATATATACTGTCAAAGTCAATGAAAACTTGGTGATGTTTTATAAACACATAAGCTCAATGAATTAATGAGAGATCAGTTTTTTTTCTATTAAAGATCAGAATCTGCCCTGATATAAATCTTCAATTTACACATCAGATATCAGAATCATCATTTCAAAAATAACACACACAAGAAAATTCTCAACAATGCACAACAATAAACAAACACATTGTTCCATCACATTATTTATATTATATGTAAGCAGAATATGGTTTAGATCAGAATCTGCCCTGATATAAATCTTCATGTCAACATCAGATATCAGAATCATCATTTCTAAATCATTTCTACGGCAAATGTATTCTTTCATCAACTAAGTTAATGAATTTGGGGTTTTCATCATAATAACATCCCAAGGTCAATGAATTGTAGATTTCATATTAAACTTTTCATTTCAATATCATAACATCATTTCAATATGCTCATATTTAAATTCAAGACATTGTACTGCTTTGACATGAAGTATAATAAATATCAATATTTATTTTTAACTTCATAGCTATTTTTTGTGATCAACTATGTTTGACAGGTTTGATCTCAACATTCATATCATTTGTAAGCAGAATATGGTTATAAAGATCAGAATCTGCCTATTTCACATTATTAGATGAAAGGCATTTTGAAGTTTTTCATCTTACTGAGAAATAATGTGCATTATGGAAATAATTGAACTTACTTTAAGTTCTGCTAGTTTATCCAGGTAGACTTGTTTTTGTTGATCTTCACCTTCATCATATAACCAGTCTTCTGTATCTCCAAGTAATTTGTTAAAGTTTTCACGTACCTGTAGAACAATATTATCATCATATATCTATTTAGCTCCCTGTTAACTGATTACATAAACAGCTTGCATATGCCTTAAGTACATTACATACTTACAGAGTAAGGGCAGGCAGCACATTTCTGGCATTATAATACAGGCAAAAATCAAGAACATGTTAGTGAGCACATGTATAAACATTTCAAAAATCAAGTTTGACAAGTCAACTACAAAAATTACTTTGAGTAAGTTTTGTGAAATTTTAACAGTTTTAAAATCATCCCTAAAAAGTTTTAGTTTGAGCATACCATTTGAAAATTTCATTTTTTTCTTGACAATTGGAAGAACTGGTTCTTTAGATATGCATTGAAATGATCAGAGGTAACCTGGTGTGTTTTTTGTATTTATATAAGAATCAATATTTTACATATTTCAAGTCAACTCTTTTATATCATCTGTTACATGTAAAGCCAGGGTTTCCATTTATTTGAAGCAACATGATCTAATGTGCCAGCCAAAAACAACCGATTTGGCCAAGGGTCAAGGTGGATATTTTAATCGACAGGCTGAAAATACAACCAAATTCATCCAAAGTCCATTAATAATGATTGATTTATTCATACAGGGCTTTAAAATGTTAAGCATAAACCTGTATCAGTAAAACAAATCACATGATTCTAAAAGGAAAACTTACATCCTCTTGACAGAATTCTTCATATGGCCCACACAGTCTGTCCCTCATCTCATACACATACTCCTCTACTGCATTCTTAGCATCACATCTTTCCTTCTCTAACTTATCCTGCATCATCATCTGGTTCTGTGAATAAACATATAAAATTATATCAACCATTTACAAATAACAGCATCCATAATGTTAAGATATGTTCCATGCTGTGATTATGTACATGGCACTTTTGACTTAGCAGTCAGGCTGAAAACTTTACAAGGTCATAAAAAAAAGTTTAAATGCTGCAAATACCAATTAATTATATCTAAATTGAACAATTCAGTTAACATCAAATCAGCTGTGTTCTTTATTCAGTCTACCATTGGACATTGGACACCAAGTTTGCTGATATTAGACATTTTACACCAAATGCAGCTGAAGCTGAACAACACAAGGAATGTTTGTTCAAAAAGTCAATTTAAATATCTTTTTCTATGACAAATCAACCACTAATATATCTTTTTATTTTTTCCCATTTAAATCTGTTGTAATGAACTTAATATCGATTCTTTCAAAATTCAGTGTATCAAAATTCTTTATTTGTGTATCACCTTCTTTATCCATACTTTACATTTGGTCATAAGAAGAAACATCAATAGTAGGTAAAAATAAAAGCTGTACACAAACCTCTTTCTCCTGTAGCAGGTTTATCACATCAGCTGGGAAGTCAGAACTATAGGATTCTACTGGTAAATCAATACTTTTAACCTTCGGTTTCTTCTCTTTTTTTGCACTGCCTTCATCCTGTAATATACCACAAATTTTAACTAAATAAATTCTGTCAAAGTTTCGAAGAAAAAATATACAGGCTTATTAGAAGAAAGTTGGTGTTTTGTACAATTTGTAAGAACATATTAACCATAAACTCGTGAAAATTTTACATTGCCACAAGATACAAACCACTGGGTAGGTATTTAAAACTTGAAAAGATGACACATCAGTAATTGATGCAATGTTAAGGAGTAATTTAAACAATGAACATAATTACTGATGCTACAGTGAGCTAACTAACTAAAATTAACATAAACACACCTTCTTTTCATTTTTGCCTTCTTCTTTCATTTCAGCATCTTTCTGTTCAGTATTGTTTTCTGTGGGTGGGGCTTCTGTGGGACCTTGTTCTGTGTCCATAGGTTCATTCTGAAGTCAAAATTGTCAAAAAGATTTAAAAGGGTTGTATTAGAAAGAGAGTAGATCAATGAACATTACAAGTTTTCAAACAGTGTTATCACCTTCCATACTATATCTTATTTCTTTTTTTGTGTGAATATTTTTAATTTTCTTTCAATCTTAGTTCATCTTTCTCAAAGTTGATTTTCTTGAAATATTTTGACACATTATCACATTGCAGCTTTTAAATCAAACTAACCTACCCTTTCAAGATTGTTCTTCCAGACATTAATACAAATTCTTCGTATATCTTTTATTAACTTAAGTTTCAAAACATATTGCATGGCTTCCATTAGTTGAAGTTTGGGAGTCATTTACTCGTTGATTTTGGAAATGTAATGCTTTTCCTTCTTAATCTATATAATGCAACTTCCAATGTAAGACATTTTGCAGTCTCTGACCACCAAGTTTTAGAACTTAATGGAAGTCCTGCTTATTCTATTTAAAACAATCTTTTACTTCTACTAGGGTGATACAGGTCATATACATGTACTACATTAATGGAAGGCTAGGCATTTAATAGCCATTCCATAACAGAAAAACATAATGCCTTAAAAATATGGCAGCAGGATATATATATATATACCATTATTATATCATGTAATTACCTCTGGTTTTTGTTTAGCTTGTCCTTCTTTAGGGGGCTCTGTCTCCATAGATTCAGATTCTTGTTCATTCTCTTTACCTTCAAGTTTTTCATACATGCTTGCTGACTGTACAGTAAACAGACCGTTGTTATTAACTCTTACTTTCACTTTCACTTTAGAACTTTCCCCGTTTGCTTGTGGTTGAACATTTGTTATATTGTATACACCTGAAATCATAAAAGTTCAATCCTATTAATATTAATTGTGCAACATATATAAATTAACACTTCTATAAGTATAAGCCAAAGTGAAACACTAAGTGAAAGTTCAAAATTAACTCCTTGAAAACAATTTTGCAGTATTGAACCTTAACTTATATGTCATTCAGTAACCTAAATCACCTCTTAAAGTTAACTTTCTTTTTATTACCCCTAGCCTTCATAAGGCTTAAAATTTAAAATAAATCCAAGTACTTTAAAAATTCAAAGAACACATTTAACCCTTTCCCTAGCAATAACAGTATTAAGACAGGAATACCTGTCAAACTAACAGTACCACATATTGGTCTAGATAACAGGTACTCTTGTCTTCAGACTTGTATATCTGATTATTAATATTTGGGGGGGGGGGGGGGGCGATTTTATCATAGTTTCAGGTAGAAAAAACAATAGAAAAATCACTGTATCGTAAAATAGTTCTTTGTATTGAATAAAAGTGTAGGTTTGTGTATCTTTATACATCAAGAGAAAAAAGGATCCATCTTTTATTGTTCATGAAAATGTTAAAGGCAATATTTTGTAATAATTATAGCTCTGGCAGAAAAGAGAGTTAATGCTTTCTACATTTCATGTCCTCGGAATTGCACAACTTTAAGTTCCATCACTACATTACATTTTTTACTTTACATGAAAGCAGGTAAAGAGTTATACAGACATACCTATACCAGATTGATGACTTGGAACTTGACTAGGATTGCTGTATCTTGCCTCTAATGTAAATGGTTCTTTCCTGTAGAATGTTAACATCTTCGAGAATGGAAATTGGTGGAATTGTGGGAACACTTCCATAGAACTGAAAAAGTACACATACACTTTATTATCCCTAAAAACTAATGTATTTTACTTACAATGTACTGATAACCAATCAATAATTCAGTGCATTTGCCAGAAATTAACAAATTTTCAGGCACAAGATACTGAAATTTCACACAAAAATTGTATAATACTTTGCAGTCAAATTATTCTAAAGAAATTAAATAATATATAAAGAACAACAACTACTGTGTTAATCTTTTGGTTTAAAGATATCATTTAAGCTTGATTACAAGTTCTTGCAACTTATATTAATCGCTTTCGATTCTGCTTTCCGGAACCAACAAGTACATAATTATGTGGAACATGGTATTGACCAGAGTAGGACTCAAACCAAAGATCCACTAGACCACCGCTCCCACTCAAACCTTTTGAATGTCTCATACAGAAATGACTTGCTTACTTCACTCTTAGAAATCCGACTCGGCTCTACACTAATTTAATTTTGCGATTAAAATCAAACATTATAAACAATGGAACGTTCTAAATTCTAAACAGGACAAGTTCATAATATAGGAATATATTCAAATATTATATATCTAAAACAAACCTGTCCTCATCAAGGCCACCACCTTGCCATGATAGAGTAATAGGGTATAACTGACAATCTTGTATAGCAAAGTCACGTACTCGGAATGTTGGTGATAAAATTGCACACTGAAATAGAATTTGAAAACCATGAATTATCCAGGTTCTTTCACGAAGGCAGACTTAAGTAAGAACCAAAGGTTATCTAAAGGTTTAACAATTCTAATATCAAATTCTATTTCAACAATTGACGCTGAAACAGCTTAAGATCTTGCTATAACATTCTTGAAAAAAAAAGGTCTTAACAACTGACCTCAAAATTCAATTATTTCAATATTATGTATAAAATTCTGCGTCATATTTTTTTAACATTAACAATCTAAAATATAACTTTATACAATAGAACAAGTAATCTTTTGTAAAAAATTACCTGCAGGGCACAGCCTTTAGCAACAGCCTCGTCTGCGTTTAATGTTGTGCTCGGTTCCTTCCTAAAAACTTTGGAAACTAGCTCCTTGATCGAAGGTATACGACTTGCTCCACCCACTACTTCTACAGAATATATGTCATCTGGACTCATCTCTGAAAACATTGTTAAAATTCATGTTTTACGAGTGATAATCAAGGAGTTGCGCAAATTCAAGGAATGGCGTTTCCTATTTAATTCTTCAATTTTCTCCTCTTAAGTCTTTGTAAAATGAATTTCTCTCTCAAAATGCTAAGTGACTGATTATGTTTTTTTTGTTACATTTATAAAACACTACAAAAAGTTTAATAACACCAAAAAGGAAATGTGCTTATGCGAAATGGAAAAAAAAAAGACACCAAAGATGCATGATTTATAAATTTGACTTCTTTGTTTTTTAGATTGTTAGCATAACTGCTTGCAGCAGTAGAAATTGCCTATAAATATTACAAAAAAATAACATAACAAATGAGCTTGTTTTTGTAAAACTGCATATACATGTAATTCTTGCATCCAGCAAGGACTGTACATGAACATGAAAGTTAACATGGCACTGTTGATATAATTTTCCTGTACATGCTACCAATTCTGTCCTTTAATATTCGTTGGTTTGAATTGTTAGGTTTCTCTGTTGGTAAGCCAGCCACTTTGTTTCGAAATGTTTGTAATGTTATTTTATGTACAATCTACTGAATACATAAAGTTTAAACTAAGCAAGCCTAAGTGGAAGTTTAAAACCAACTAAAAAGAAAAATCACTTACATATCTTGTAATTATACTTACTAATGAATAAAGCTTGAACTAAGCAAGCCAAAGTGGAAGTTGTTAACTTTAAGATTAAAACCAACTAAAACAGAAACCACTAATTTGTATTATCATTTTACTTACTAGAAACTTCAAGTATTTTCTTAAATACTGCTTCTGCCTTTAGTAATAATGGTCCAGCCATTTCTTCAAACTTTGATCTGCAAAGCAAACAAAGATGATATTAAAATATATTTGCATGTATTAAAATATTTTAAAGATTATTCGAAATACAGTTAATCCTCATACAAAAATTTTGAAAAAATCTAGTTCATGTTAACTAGATAATTTGTGATAAGAAATATAACCAAACATGCTTTTCCTAATTAATATTGATATTCTCTAGAAAATTTAATTTTTTTTCTCCAAGATATTCATTTTAACATTTTTGAATCAATAATTTACAATTCACTTAATAAGAAGGGAAATGATATGTCAAGATCCCATTGGTGTATCCATCAAATTGGGATATTTTCAAGTTATGAAATTCAGTAAAATGGACAGAAAAGTTGCACAAAACAGACAAATAATGGGGAAGAAAAAACAAACAAACATGACTTAAATTTACCTCTCCATTTTACCATGTACATCTTTATCATCCACAAAACATTCAATATCTATAGGAATAGGCTGAGTATTTGCACTCATCAATTTCTTCAGTTTCTCACACTCCTGTGTCAGTCGTATATACGCTTTCGGTTTGGCGAGTACGTCGATCTTGTACTTAGTTTTCCATTCTTCTATAAAATGATTGACCAATAAAAGGTCAAAATCTCGTCCTCCCAAGTTGGCATCTGACTGTGTTGCCAAGACCTGCAAAAATAAACCGCTATAAGCTTAACAGTCGTTCTAAGTTCATATAATAAATAATAAAGACTAAAAGATCAAGAAGATTTTATTGAAAACCAGACTTTTTTTCTTAAATTGTTTTTTATAAAATGCACAATGCTTAAATGTTTTTGACTTTTCAAAACCAGCTTTTCAATTTCCTCAAGGAAAGAAAACTTAACAAGTACTAATGAAACAGCAAGTACTAATGAAACAGCAATCATTTTAAAAAAGATAAAAGCTAAACAGGAAACAATCTTAATATCATATTACTATCAAAACTTAACTTCACCTTATGTAGAAAAAAAATATTTCCGTCCTTACAACTCCCAAATGACAATTAACTTCATTTTGGAGTGAAAGTCTGAATTTTATAAAATTCTAACCCAAGTGTCATAATAACAATGATATACTAATATTAACTGTACCCTGAGTTTGCCTTTGTTGAATGCAGTGACAGCAACCTGCATGGAACTATATCCTAAATCCACGAACACAACATTACGAGATTTCTCATTCTCTGCTGGAAGATCTTGTTTGTAGATACCATATGCAAGAGACACTAAAAACGAGTTTCATTTAAAAATATAAATATCAGAGACTGGCAAAAAAGTGATTTCTCAAAAAATCTACAACACAAACTTTCAATAAAATTTACGTTGACAAACATGTATATAATTGCAAAATAATTGAGATCTTTGTTTGTAGGAAATCCAACTACATAGACAAAATACCTAGCAGTTATAAGTTACTGCATGCATACTTTTCCCCTTGCAAGATGCACGAGAATTAATAACATCACTCAGTCATTGAATTTAAGATCTTGTATTTACTAGCCCGAATTCTGTTTTTAATTTATTCTACTATATATTTAACTTAAATTTACACTGAACTAGTTATCACTGGCCATGGGCCATCAGGCCAGTGCTAAATTTGATGACTGATCACATCAAAGATGAATGATGAACATAATCATTAAGCCATTTGTCTGATCATTGACCCTTGACAAAATTGACTTGCCTGGCATAAATATGCAAGTCAACTTAGTCGGCCCCTCTATTCAGTATTGGTATTCCATACCCAGCCTTTTAGCAGGTGCTAAATTTTGAGCTTTTTGAAAATAAAACCCTTTAAAAAATTAAAATGGACAATTCTGAACTTAAATCAAAGGTAGCCAATTATAGATCTCAAAACTGAGCATCCGAGAAAATATATGAATTTCAGCTGATCTAGAAAATATGCAATATAACTTTTTACTGATGCTCAATTTTAAGATCTGTATGGAGTTCATCCTCTGTGTAAAGGTAAATGCTTAAATTCATTATTTCAACATAGTGTATCATTATACGAAATGTTTTCAGCTTACTTACCAGCAGTAGTATCGTTCATTATCTTCAGACAATTAAGACTCGCTATTTTACATGCTGCCAGCATCGCTTTCCTTTCCAACTCCGTATAGAAACTAGGTACCTGTAGATAAAAGCATGTCAATGATTAAATATTCTTGTGATTAAATTTTAATGTCAAAGAAAGCTCTTATCGGTAACTCCGGAGTTATTTCTTCCCAATGTTGACGGAAAACAACAGGAAACAAAGAATAATCACTTGTACATGTTTAATCACTTCAATTACAATATGATTCAGACTCAGAGTTGCTTCCGAAAAAAAAAATACTTTGGGAAGAACAAGGGCCCTTTGAATAAAAAATTTGAGGAACAATTGATAACATCATGGGAATGAACAATATCTTATTTCAGTTTTGTCTACTTTATCATTTATTGCTAAAATTAAATATGTAATTTTTCTTAAATCATTAAGATAGTAACAATTCTACTTTAAAACATTATGCATTCATTCTTCTATTATTGTTTTTATAATGATGGAAGTAAGCTATTGGTCACTTACAGATATTACAACATCAACAACTTTGGTTTTCAATGCCTTTTCTCCTGTGTCCTTTAACTTGGTCAATAACATTGCCATTAATTGCTCTGGTTTGAGCAACTGCTTCTCCCCCAAGTAGTTTGCCTTGACAAAAAGAATGAATTTGCATAAATTGTTGTACTTGATAAAGAGTATACAGTGTGTCCGTTTGACCCTTGAAATGACTCTTTGACCCTTCAAATTTCCGAAAGGCCCCATTTGACCCTTAGGATTTTAACTGAAGGGTCAAATTTTGTTAAAATTATGGGGATTTGGCCTTGTAGATGGTAAAACTTAGTCAAAATGACCCTCAGGATTTCATGGCTAGTGAACACCCTGAGTATAAGAAAGTAGGCAGTCCAATTCCTATTTTAAGAATCAATAGAAATGTAAAATCAATATAAATGTACCAATTATCATCCAAATAAGTCCAAGAACAGTACCTTTAACTCATACATGAAACTACAGTAAATCTTATATTCCTATTTATTTATCTTTATTTTAAATATGTGAAACAAGTTTTAAAAATATTTCATATATCAAATAACTTGACACCAATCACAAACAATCATTCATATAACATAAATAACATAGCTATAAACTTTCAAATAATTATCTAATTTTCTTTCATACATTTGAAAGTAAAATTATTTGAAGTTTTAATATTAAAATGAATTTATGCCACACCTCAATAAGAGTTTCTCCACCAGACCCAGCCACAACTGTAAATGGCTTAAGGTATGTTTTGACTTCATTTTGTACCATCGGGTCATCAAAGTTACGCCCTAAAAACCTTTTGAAGCAAGTAATCGTGTTTTTCAAATTGGTTGTTGCTTGATTTTTGGCGGCTGTGCCAACACTTCGATTCTTTTCACCGAGAGAAACGTAAGATCTGAAAAAGAATAGAAAGATGCATGTAGTTTATCAACTTTAATAAAAAAATCCCAAAAATTGAAATAATTTTCCTTATCTATGCCATCCATAGGCATTTTCCCGAAATGGCCAAAATAACTGGGAAAAAAGCCCTGATTGGCCAAATTCAAGTTGTTGTTAAACGAAAATGTATGTTTAAACTAAGCAGAATGAGATGCCCTAATTGATTCAACCTTTAATTTGGTATCTTCACATGGTATTTATTATAGGGTTTCTTTATCGGACAAAAATCATAATCGATCATCGAAATTAATCGAATAACCCTTTTCGATCAATCATCGATAATATAATCAAAGAATTGACAATAACAAAGTAAATATGAGCCGCGTCAGGACAAAACCAACATAATGGGTTTGCGACCAGCATGGATCCAGACCAGCCTGCACTTCAACTCAGTCTGATCAGGATCCATCCTGTTCGCTTTCCAACTCTATCACAAGAAGAGAAACTGATAGCGAACAGCAACTAATAATATTTCTTTTCAAAAATAATCCCTATGATGATTTAATCGCAATTTATTTGCACAATTTCTATACACAAGTTCTGAGATCTTCCTTTCGCTCACTTTGAAAAATACGAAAGTGACATGTAAAATATTAAATATAGAGTTTAAATTGAAATTTGCAGTTTGCAGACGTATATCATCCGAAATATATAATATATATTTTCAATAACAATCAGTATGATGATTTAATCACCATTTGTTTGAATAATTTCTATGCACAAGTTCTGAGATCTTCCTTGCGCTCACATTGAAGAATACGAAAGTGACTTGTAAAATATGAAATAAAGCATTGTTCAAATTGAAAGTTAGACATAAATTACATTTTTCAGGCGTATAATATCCAAAATTTATATTATTTTTTTTCAAAATTAATCATTTATAATATGATGATTTTTCCCTAATTTCTATATATACAAGTTCAACATTCTTCCTTTCGCTCACATTGAAAATACGAAAGTGACCTCTAAAATATCAAATATAAGGTTTAACTGAAATATACTGTTGAATATCAAATTATTAATTTCTGAAAATATACGTTTACAAACTGCAGTTTAAGGACATTTTCAATTCAAACTCAATATTTGATATTTTACAAGTCACTTTCGTATTTTTCAATGTAAGCGAAAGGAAGATCGCTGAACTTGTATATAGAAATTAGGCCAATAAATGGCGATTAAATCATGATTATGGTTATTTATTATAATATATATATAATAAGTTGCTAATAATATACGTCGACAAACAGCAATTGTACTGTAAAATTCAATTAAAACGATACAATTCAAATTCTCTATTCTATTTAAAAAAGGTATTTGATCTGACAAATCAATTAAATTTTCACAAATTTGTTACAGAGAACTATAAGTTACACACTTCTAAAGGTGCTAATTTAGTAATAAACCAGTGTTTCTAATGCTTTATTCAAAATTCTTTCACACTTCTATTTTTTCTTATCTGTTATATAAGAACATATTTTAATTAATCAATATTTTTTTATGGTATTTAATTTTTGGATAACAAAAAAAAAATGAAATAATATATACATGTAGACTTATAGATGATAATTCTTTCAGAACTCATATTTATAATTATTTTTCCAGGGAAATTTCACTATACTTTATATCATGAATGTAATTGTTTGCAAGTTTGTGTTATATTATATATAATATTATAACCCATAATGGTATTTATTTCATATATTTATCAAATTTAAAAAGTGGAGGTGAAAAGACCAGGGTTTTGAGGGTGAAACGTCTAGGGGTGAAACATCCAGGAGGTGTAAAGTCAAAACACCGTTTATAAGTGTCAATAAGAAAAACATTTTCAAGGTAACAAGACAACTAACCCCCCAGACGATTCATCCCTCAAAAAAGCAAGACAACTCACCCCTCAAGACAGTTCACCCCTCAAAATAGATAAGACAATTCACCCCGCATAAATGATAATCATGTTTATGGGTAAAAAAGATTAAAAAAGTCGGTATATTTATTTATTTATTTATTATGTCATATTTACAAAACATAACAGCACATATACCATGATGTATACAACAAAAAATATAATTTTATTCAATCAAATCAAATACAGTAGCACATAATTTATATTGAGGGAAATGCCCATAATAATCTTGATATTTTTATGCAAACATGTACAACTGTTTAATTATTCTTATCACCTTATCATTGCTTGATTAGGATCAAAGGAAGTGTGAAAGGGATTAAGGTCTATTGATAATCATTAATTAATTCCTTTCAAAATGAAAGGGATTAAAGAGCATGATTATCACATGTTAATATCTTTGATATGTCATCTTATAATAGCATCACTAGCACTTAAACAAATTATGACAAATTTATGGTGAATTTGTAATTTTTATAGTTTGTATGTAAATAATAAGTAAAAATATAATCACATAGTAACAAATATTATTTTTTAAGTAAAAAATTATTATAATTAATTTAAATATGACTAAGTAATTATAAATATCAATTTAGTAAAGAAACACAACAAATTTGTTTATTGCATCTTCTAATTTTAAGATAAATTTCATCAAAATTAAAGTTAAGAAAATGGGGGTGAATTGTCTGTGTCAAAAATCCAATAATGTGGGGTGAACTGTCTGATGGGTGAATTGTCTGGAAAAAATGGCTTAGGGTGAATCGTCTGGGGGGTGAGTTGTCTGTAAGCCATTTTCAACGGAAAAGAGTCAACTCGGCCCTATACCAACTCGGCACGGGTCAACTCGGCCCACTTTACAAAAATATATAGGCCTATAACGTATTTACTTTGCTTTGCATGTTGTTAAGGTAAATGAATAATAAGAAATTTCTTATTATTATTATATAATTATACATTATAATTATCTCTGCTGAAATAAAGTATATTTAGAAAAAAAAGTTATTTATTTGTCTTGCAGATTCTATAAAATTAATATAGACACAGGCACGATTATCGAACCTGGGAAGAAAAAATATGAACAGATTGATAAAATAACTTCATATTTTTTCTTCCCAGGTCCGATACTTGTGCCTGTGAATGTACATGTAGATATAATAAAAATGTGTTTCCTTAGATGCATTTTGTTTGTAAAGTAATTTTCAAAAAAATATGAAACAAAAACGTGTTTACTTAATAGCATAAGCTTCTAATTAATTGCAGGTGGTCACTAATCAAATTTGAATGAATAAGTCAATCATAATTATCATTAATAATAATTAATCGGTATATTTAACATACACATTGATTGATAATAATAGCCCGTGACAATAGGAGTCCTTTGATGTCCTTTACCCATTTTTAAATTGGGCCGAGTTGATCCGTGCCGAGTTGGAATAGGGCCGAGCTGACTCGGGGGCCGAGTATGTTTTAGGGCCGAGCTGACCCGGATTCTTTTCAACAACTGGTACTCATAGTTTATGCTAATTCATGTGACAAACTACTTCATTCATTATAATTTCCCACAAGAAAAGGAAAATGCGCTTACACATCTCTGCCTGAAGCAAACTTTTTAATAGTATTAAAACAGGACAGGTACGTGTAGATATGTTAGAATTATTTAAAACAAATATGCATAATGAATTGTACGGATTTTTGACATAGTCTTTTTCGTGTGAAAAACAACTTACGGGGTACATCGATCACTGTACTCATTAGCTATGGTTTCAATACCACCACCCGCTGCAACTCCAACATAAGAAGTATAACTCCCGACATCAATCCCAACAACGGACATGTTTCACCTCCTTTGCCGTCGGCAGGAAAATTAACAAAATTGAAGAAAAAAATAGAAAAATGCCGGTCTGAAATATATGCTTCAATCAGAAAGATAATTTGTCCAGGTACGACTCAAAACAATCTAAGGAGTAAACTGATCAACCTCCAATGCAATATTTTTAACTGATTTAGCTGTAAACTTAGCGAATGTTCGAGAACTTCTTAGAAATTGTAAACACGCGTGAAAATTCGACGCCTTCCGATTTTACGAAGCCGGACCGAAGTAAATTTATTCGGATAATTTGATTGGTTATAAGAATATATGCTAAATCCGTCTATTTACGAGTACTAACCGTAAATACTCGCTTTTTAGAACGGGTTGTGCACGATGAACAAAGGTCACATAAAATTATTATTGAAATTGTCAACTTAGTACCGTTTAATAAAGCCCTTATAGAACCCGTAAAGAATAAGTTTTAAATATTTTAATAGTTGAAATTCAACATCTGTGATTTATATATTTTATATAAATAAAAAGTTCATAAATTTTATAAGGCACCAGTGAAAAAGAGAAAAACAAAATCCCTAAACTAAAGAAAGCCAAGCTCAGTTTGATTGAGCTTGTTCATGGATGTGCTGGAAAGTGCAAGTTATCGTCCACGCTCCCTAGCACCGGCTTAAGCAGAAATATTGAAACATCCGAATATGTGTTCATACCGCTGTTTTCAAGGAACCTTCAATGAATGTGACATTAATATGCATAATTTGAGATAATATATCTTTATCTATATTAATAAATAATTAATAAGTCTATTTTGAAGTTGACGCCTTTAGTCTTTAAAAACAGTGCAAAAAAAATGTACCATAGATATCATACCGAAAATTAACAACTGACTCGCTACAGTTTTCAAGAACCTTTCAACAGGTTTCATATATAACTTACTTTGGCTGTTCTCTTTGCTTTGTTTCATCTTCAGTATAAAATTCACCAGGGCCTGAAGGGCGGAAAAGAGAATATTTAAATCAGTCTTTCATACGATGTCTGAGATAATTTTGAATGAAAGAAAGATAAAACAGAAAGAAATGTAATAAATATACAGTTTAACAATAACCATATAAACGTCGTTATTTATTAGTTATTTAACATGCATATGTTTAGGACTTATTATTAATTCCTAAGCCATAAATTACTCTATTCTTAAAACAAAACAAAAATATGATAGAAAGTTCAAGTAAAAAGTTATAATGTTTGAAGGACAAGAATATTTTACTGATGTTTAATAGTTTATCACCAGCAATATAATTTCATGTTTAAATACTAATCAGAAAATAAAAAATAAAAAAACAGTATTTGTTACCCGCACTCCAGAGCATGCCCATTGATTGGCTCATTTTTTGCTTGGGTTCATTTATTATCAAGAAAGGGAAAGCGACAGAAATATCATATTCAGATGCTCGTTCATTGGTTTCTTTTTCCCGGGGTTTCATATTGTGACAACAGGGAACGTGTTTTTATGTTTGACTATGATACAAAAGAGAAAGAACATCAAAACACTTGGCAACCTGATTAATACTCGGGTACAAATCAGATAGCCTCGTGTTTCGATGCTCTTTCTATTACTTGATTCTACCTTCTCATAAGAAGGAATAACTACAAGTTTGTTGAAATTTCCACGTAAATCCCATTTAGCTTATTCACTGAGAGGTTATGACATTTAACTTCACCCAGAAGATCAAAGCATTCAGAATGTATCTTGATTGTAGACAGTTTAACTTAGAGTTTACAGTAGTAGCAGACGACAGAAACAAGTAGATTTTTTATTTTTGAACAAAAAAGCAAATCTTAGTAACAAAACACCAATTAATTTCATTCGTATTGATCATACATTACATATTGTAAGTGTCCCCCCCCCCCAAACCCATATGTTTCATTGCATCATAAAAGCATTGTTAAATAAATTACAAGGTTAAATTGTCAGGTCAGTTATAGCCCGAAAATCTAAGTCAAAGCACGGACTTTAATGGTATGATGATTTAACATTTGCGTTCGGCATCATATATTTACATGGCTCTGAGGGATATTCAGAAAATACAGGGCTGTATTATTTGTCTCTGTCGAAATGAATGTTGATTCGACACCAGCAACATAGGCCTACATGATTAAGATTTTGTTTCTGATAATCCTCTTGATTGAGGTGATTTGCTACCAGCTTTTCTGTTTGTACTCCAGTTTATAACGAGTCTTATAAATTTGAGCACCCCTAGAGGAATTTTTGGAAGGGTAAACATGTTAATAAAGTGCGCGTAAATGGGATAGGTACTGCATGTCTATTCGCTTGTAAATTATTATACAATGGGCAGGGTGCCCCATATGTTGTAAATATCCCCTTTTGGGAAGAAAAATATTAAAATATTTTATAACAGTTGACTGTGGAGGTTTGGCTTATCCTTCGTGTGTCAGTGGTGGCAACAAGCAATCAGGGTGATTTTATGCAAATATATTTGAAAACGAGGCTGGTCATGTGACACATACGTCACGGCCATGGAAGCGCCATTTTGAAGAAAATGTGAGGACCGGATAAAGAAAATCTTGGATATTACAACTGTAATGTTATTTTTATATCGTTTTGCCTTTTGGACGAAAGATGATGTTATATTCAAACATGTTTTATTGAAAGCTTCTCATATTTATATGTTGTTTGATAGCTTTCTTTCTGTAAACCTGCCGGGTAGCGAATTGGCGGGTTATTCCATTTTTGTATTTGTAAACAAACTGTTATAAAAAAAACACGTGTTTTCTAGATGTTGCTTGTAAGCCTTAAAGGGTTAAAAGTGATTGGGGAAGTGCCTCTGATATTCAAAGAAAAAATTGCAGCTGCAGATTTGGACTGTTCCATTATTTATGTGTAGGGGTGTCAGGATAGTGTGTCTGCCCAACGGCAGTCAATTTCTACTTTCATTTTGGGAATTGATCATATTTTATTAGTTTTCTGTGCTGGATACTCATTTTTTCTAACGTTTGTGTTAGTACTGGTTTATGTAATTAATATTTTATCATCTACTTCTTTTGAAGTTAAAAGATTATTGATAAATGCACAGACTGTCTTACCTTTTTTATAGTGGATCATTCCAGAATTTAAGTATGATGTTAAATTTTCAACAATTATCAATGAAAAGTTGCCACTAAACACCTTCATTGGTGTTTGTTTGTTAGTAATGTCTTCCAGGAAAATTGTTGTCATGCTATAGTGATTTAGATGAAGCAATATATTTTCGAAAATTGATTAAAGATGGTTTTATTTTAAGTTAAATGAAGATAATAATTGTAATAGCTGTGAAATAATAGGTATAGTATTAGTATCCAGTTTGATTATTTTATATTATCTTGACACCCATAGATCAAAGATAGATTATAACTCTAAGTCTTTTCAAAATTGATAAGAATTCATGGAAAATTTTAAGTGAAATTCTTCAAGATTATTCTAATAAATATCTTGTGCAATCTCATCTCATTTGAAGTCTTGAAAAGTGTTAACTTATATTAACTATCAAGCAAGTGCAAATCGAATAGTGATAATTTTATACAAGTGCAGATTTTTTAGTTTTGATCATTAATCATTGTGTTTGTCAATATGGTTCAATTTTTATTTATCAAGTAAAAAATATATTTTGCATACATTTATGTATAGAGAGTATATATAATAATATTAAAATGTATACCAATTGAATGATACTAGAATTTTAATGCCAATATGTTGTTTTTTTGTAGAAATAATGTCCAGCTCAAGGTCATCAAGGAGGTTTGTCTTTTTTAATTTTTCTGTCCGTAGTCAGTGATTTTTTTTCTTCAAAGTTTACAGCCAAATACAGTTGGTTTCCCCAACAGAATATTTTTTCCCTAGCCCCCAAAATGGAATCATTTTGTCTCCTTGAACTGCAGTAGCAAAAAATTTTTAATTTCCAAATAAACAGCTCTAAATGAAGAGAATCAGATGGAAAAGTTGTTAAAACATAGGCAACATTCTCAGTTGTTGGACTTTTATTTTAGCTTTTCCCCTTTTGTAATATACTATGCTATATTTTTCCTTTAAAAAATCCACAGTGGCTCTGAAAGTTAATAAAAAATCACCGAGTAATATGTCTATGATTTATAGAGAGGCACATTTACTGCTAAGTATTTATTTCAAAATATATGAGTGCCAAAATGTTTCATCTGTTTACATTAAATTTGATTTGAATATGCATTTAAAGGAACTCCACTGCTGTTTTTGACATGACAGGACTAGAAATATTTTTTCAAGATAAATGTTCCATTTGGTGAAAGTCTAGATTAGTAACTTGTGATCAAAATTTCGGATCATTAATTGATCACTTTGTTTTTCAAGAATATTTATTCTTACTGTGGAAAATGATACAAAATTAACACTTTCTCTCAAACCAGACCCAAGGATAGCACAAAAATACCATTTTCAATTTATTTCTGAGCATATTTCTTTTTGCATATCTTTTTGTTTTAAGTGTTCCAGTTGATCTATAATAGAAATTCAAATTTTATGTTTTTTTAGGCCTTTGTACCTCAGTGGTGTTCCTTTAACTTTGAAGTTAAATTTAATGATACCTGTAAGCTATTCAAAATCAAAGTTGATTAATTTCCTGACTTTCTGATTGTAGTGCCCAGTATTGAAATTACTTAAAATATGAATAAAAAAAGTAAAAATATTAATAACTGTGACCTATCAGAACCATTGAAATATGACAACATTGTATTTACTTTGCAGCAAGAGAAATGAGAGTGCAAGCACAACTCGTGTGAAGTTGTTAGCAAAAGAAATGAACGGCACTGACGATGACACGGAAGAAGATGCTATTGAAATTCGTAGGCACTTTAATTATTATGCGGGGAAGGCTTCCAATGACCTGTTTTTAATTTGACACTATTTGAGAATATAAAAAGGAAATTTGCAAAGTTTAGACATTGTCCTAAATTTTTACATATTTAATACATGTATTATTTTCTACAGAGGCCAAATGATTAATGAATCTGCATATTTGTAAAATTTGTTATATTCTCATAACTCGAAAAGTTAAAACTAGATTATTTTTACCATTACCAGCTTATTGTATGACTTTAAATATTTTTCCCTCATAAAAAAGTATTACCATCTGAAGAAATTTTCCAGTTTTAAAGGAATTGAATTGAGAATTTACCTTTGCATTTTCATAGTTTGAATTTCACAGAGGCAGATCTAGAATTTCTTTACCTGAAGGGACATACACTTTCGATAATGCATAATGTATCCAAAAGGAGAAGGACATTTCACAAGTTTTTCTGAGAGAATCACAAGTTAAAATTTTGCAATTTTTACTAGTTTAAGCATGAGTTTTTGCTAAAAAATTTAAGCAAAATGGTTTGACATAATTGCAAAATCCTACAGGTGTTTTGAGCTCATGACACCTCCCCCTTCCCAGATTATTATTTTCTTGCATGATTACAAATCTTTTTTCTTTTTTTAAACTTAATTTTAATAATTTTGATATATTTGTTGAATGTATTTTAAGGCTCTGAAGATTCAGAAGATGATTCCAGTTCAGCCAATGAGAAAGGGAAAAAGAAACTCGACAGCTCACTTAGCAAATCTGGATTTTCTATGACTACTGGTAATACTATACTTCATTTTAAATGAGATGAGCTCAGTGTGGCAATTTGTTAGTATATATCAGTCTTGAAAAAAATACACTCAAACCTGTGAGATAAGGTCATACAAGGGAGAGACCAAACATGACCTTTATAGATGAGTGGTCTTTATTTTGAGATTATTTTGTTCTATTTGATCAATGAAGGATTGTCAAGGAGTGGCCTTTATTTATAGGGTGAACTTTATTCAAAGGTGATCTTAAAGTTACGTGAAAACTGTAGTGAATAACATTGTACTGTTGAGAGTTTGTATGAAATATGCCATTTAAATATTTACATTTCTCATTTTTTTTGGAATTTTCTTGTTTAACTTGTTGAGGCATTCAGCTAAAAATAGTTTTTTTATTGTTTCAGAGATGAAGAAGCTGTTAGAACGTGTACTCTGTTGCTCATGTGGTAAGCAGTTGAATCCCATGAATCATGGTGCTGTAAGGCGACATCCATGGCTCAAAGTAGTAACTTGCAAGGTATGTCTGTGCTAGTTAAAAATAAAGCTGCAAAATAATTGGATGAAAAGAAACTCGGTTAAAGTACTTATGGACTATGGTGAATACAGTGTTTTTTTCCCCTACTTTGGGAATGGTGCCGGTACCAGACAGATTGGGGAAAAATCCATCGGTTAGACTCAAATTGGGAATTTTATATTAGATGCAAATATTTATTTGGAATTTCTTTTATCCACGGAGACATGAAAAATTTGCATAATATACACTTTTAAACAATGTATTATTAACTTTAATGATTATTTTTGCTACCTTAGCTTGAATAAAAAAATAATCATAACAATTGTACATATAAAATAATGTTTCGGTGTGAAACATTAAAATTACGAAATGAACTGGGTAAGAATATCACTCATGTGGTTATACTTGGTTTTTATCGTATATCGCTAAGCGGCTTACCAATATGGAAGCATCCATTACTGCTTTGTTTACCTTTAAATTTGCCTATTTTTTAGGAAATTTTCAGTGTTATTTTGCTGAATTTATCAGTCATGAATTGGGAAATTTGCTGTCTATTTTCTATTGGGAACGGTGCCGTTTTCCGGTATCAGTTATATAAGGAAAAGAAACACTGGAATAATTTATTAAAATACCCTTTGACATAGTCAACGTTATCCATTATACTTTACAAATTGAATATTTGTGTATACTATATATGCATATATTGTAAATCTGTTTAAAAGAAATTTTATGCTTCAGTGTTTGATGTAATACACCTCTTACGAAGGTAAAATAAGTCAAAAGTACTTGAGTATTTTATATATTAGCACTGTATGAAAAGTTATTTTTCTCCCTATCTTTTAGATATATAATTCAGATATTTATATTCAACATATGTTTTATTAGTGCAGGCAAGTCATGGTTTTTTTTTATCAAGAGAAAAATTTATTTGACCACATTTTATTTCAGAAATGTTACAAGTTTTTACGAAGTGGTCCTTTTACCCGTGATGATGATGGAGTAGATGAACAGTGCCGTTGGTGTGGGGACGGAGGACGTCTGTATGGTTGTGATTACTGTCACAATTGTTTCTGTAGGTCTTGTATCAAACGTAATCTAGGTAGATCTGAGGCTTCAATGATGGAGAGTGAAGGTTGGTATTACATCATTGTGTCACGAGAGCCTTTATGTAATTGTAATTTTGTAAAGAAAAGTAATTGAATATTATTGCATGAGAGTAACATCATTGTATCACGAGAACCTTTTTGTAATTTTAGTTTTTTTTGTAAAGGAAAATATTTCTAATATTTTTGCATGTGAGAAGTACATTTCTTAATAGGCTGGCCATTTTGCATAGTATGGAAATCTCAAAAGAGAGCATATATTCAATGGTATAGGGCTAAAGTTATCTGTGCAGAAGGATTTCTGATTGCCTGTAAGGCATGGTGTTAATCCTTGTTTCTGAATATAGTGATTCATATTTGCTACCTTACAGATATTAGCAGAAAGTTATATATCATTATAAATGACACTGAAGTCAGAAAAACATGTACCTGTTGCCATAGTTACACTGGCATTATACTTCAATACAGACACATTTCCTTTCAATGGCATAGAAAGGAAAAGCCAATCTGTTTAGCGTGGCAGACATGTGAGTCCTGGACCTCTGGTTCTTGACTGGGTCTGGGGTTTGGAGCATGTTTTTCATTGATGACTGTTTATTAATCATTTCATTCATCCTCCACAGGGCCGGCAAAATCTGATTTTAACTTACTTGTCTGTTTTTATCTGAAGCATTTCTTAACTTATCTGTATGATATTTATATAGAAATTTTTTGAAAAATTCCACTTGTCCGTACAGGCTGAGGGAGAATCTTTGCAATATTGACAATTGATTTTGTCACCCCTGATTCACTGCTGTAACAATTTATACATAGTGAAGTTTGCAGTAAGCAATATCAAAATAAGTTAGTGCATGTTAAGAGGCCAGGAACACTTGTGAGGAATTTAATTGCAGGTTAATGAGTGAAATAATATTAAATAGTGGAACACTTAAGGCTGTGTTTAAAGATCGCGATATTAATATATCTCACATTGTATTAAAGTTGCCTCCATCAAAACAGCTTCTGTGTTGTTGTTTACTAATCTTTGTAAACAGGTCTGGAGACCTTAGAAATATCTAAATTAGCATCGTAATACCTTTATTAATAAATATAGTCCTATTTTATACTTTTAAGATTTAGCTATTTAATGGGGGAAAAAGTTTGAAATGGGGCTGGAAATTACCTTGATTTATGATTTACACTTAGTTAAACAATATCTCATAGTTTATTGTATTTGGTTCTCACGCTTTGAAGTTCAAGCCATTGACAGTTTTGTCAACTGCAATATGACAACTGTGAATTTTCATTAATCAAGAAAAATGGGACCCTATGGGTTGAATGGGACCCTATTTTGGCCCCAAAACTGCATGAGAAAAAAATAACAATGAGCTTCACCTTTAGTATATCAAGCATTGTTTTTTGTTCTATTTTTAGATGACAGTAAATGGCACTGTTACCTCTGCAAACCCAAAAAACTGAAGAAACTGACAGATGATTGCGACAAAATACTTGGTTATATTCAAGCCCAAGAGAAGAAGGAAAAAGAAAGGGAGGAAAGAGAAAAGGCGAAACAGAAAGAAAAAGAAAAGAGAGAGAAAATGAAGAAAGAAGAAAAGAAAGAAGAAAGCAAAGATGAAAAGGAGAAAGACTTGAAGGATGAAAAAGGTACACCTAAAAGAGGTTTACCAGCACCTAAAGTTAAGTCTGAAATAACAGAGAAACTAAAGGTGGAAAAGAAAGATGAGAAACCGAAGGTGGAAAAGAAAGACGAGTCGAGTTCAGAGAAAGACAAAGAAAAGAAAATTGAAACGAGTAAAGCAGTCTCAAATTCCAAACCTGATATAATTGTAGTAGGGGATAGTCCTGCTATAAATCCTCATCATAGAGCTGTGAATTATAAACCAGACATACGGACAGGTGTACAACATGTTCAGAAAATCAGCGATAATGTTACAGCAGTAACAGTGGGTCCTAAATTTGACAAGCCTGTTTTGATGCCAAATATAAATAAAGGAGGCAATTTTCAAAGGCAAATACAACCCAGGCCAATGTTAATAAATATGCTAACATCAGGGGCTTCAGGATCTAATTTCAACCAAGGAAATTCTTTGAATACTTTGAAGAAATTTGTCCCATTAAATGACATGAGAGCATTAAAAAATAATATTTTCCCTAATAATGTTGAAAATATTGCTGAAAAATTGGGCCCCATGACTCAATCATTAAATCTCACTTTAAATTCACTAAAAACAGATCTAGCCATTGCAAAGTTGTCACAGGCAAACATGTATCAGGCTAAACAAATGGCTGCAACTCAAATGAAAAATGGATTAGAGTACTTCTTTAACAGTTTACGTGAACTTCTTAATGTTCAAATATTGGCCAAAAATCCAAATGAAGTTGCAGATGACAAGAGTCAGGGTGATATAAATATAAAACCAGTTTCAAGTTTTTCTTTAACAAGCACACCCAATGGTAAAACAGATATTCTAGTCGATAAAATCAATGAATCACTAATTCCAATAGAAATTGATGCTAGTCCTGTAAAGAAAGTGGAGAAAGTTGAGAAAATGGAAACTGATGATGTGTATGTAGTAACTGACAATGACACTAAAGATGTAAAAGTGTTACATGTAAGTAATGACAAAGTGGTAAAAGAAGAAGCCTTGAATCACTCAGAGATGTCAGTAGATAAGAACGATGAAATTGTCCTTGATGATGACACTATATCTGAAAGTGATTCCAAAAATGATCAAACAAAACCATTAGATGAGGACAAAGATTTGAATGGTAAAGAAGAACCTGAAAACAAAACTGATTCTAAAACAAGTGAAAAGGTTGAAAGTTCCAAGAAGCCATCAAAAAACAAAACTGTGGATGATGTTCAAGAAATAAGTGATAATGAGTCGGACAAAAAAACATCAAAAAAGTCAAACAGTATAATAGGTATGAGTGAAAATTCTGCTGCAGAATTAGAACTGTTGAAAGAAATGGCTGATGAGTCAGAAGAAGAAACACCAAAGAAGTCAAAAAGTAAATTAGAGATGAGTGAAAATACAGCTGCAGAATTGGAACTGCTAAAGGAAATGGCTGATGAGTTAAATGAACAAGAAGAAAAATCAAAAGAATCAGATCATCCAAGAAGATCAAGTAGGAAAAAGAATTTTGATGTCACTGAAGTCAAAGATGATTCTGACCGAGATTCTCCTGTAAGGAGGTCTAGTAGACGTCAAAAGCCTGAGGATGAAAACAAGGAAAAAAATGAGAAAAGAGATAAAAGTTCTCCTGAAAAAGGGAAAACAGATTCCAAAAAGTCAGGAAAGAAAAAAGATGATGTATCAGATGATCAGGAAACAAGAAGTAAAAGAAAATCAGAAAATAAGTCCAAGGCCATGGATGACTCTGATGATCAAACCGAAGATGAGTCTGGTAAAAATGATGAAAAGGAAGGTAAAGACAAGAAAAAAAAGTTGTCAAAGAAGCAAGTTTCTAGTGATATTACTGATGAGAACACTGAAGAGGAGGTAGAGAAAATGGAAGAAGAACCAGAAACGAAAAGTAATGCTAAATCTAATAAGAAAAGTTCTGAAAAGCAGAAGTTCAAATCAAAAGATAGATCCAAAAACCTTGAAGAAAGCACTGAAGAAGAGGTAGAGAAAATGGAAGAAGAATCAGACACCAAAAGTAGTGCTAAGCCCAATAAAAGTTCTGAAAAGCAGAAGTCCAAATCAAAAGATAGATCCAAAAACCTTGAAGAAAGCACTGAAGAAGAGGTAGAGAAAATGGAAGAAGAATCAGACACCAAAAGTAGTGCTAAGCCTAATAAGAAAAGTTCTGAAAAGCAGAAGTCCAAATCAAAAGATAGATCCAAAAACCTTGAAGAAAGCACTGAAGAAGAGGTAGAGAAAATGGAAGAAGAAGAATCAGACACCAAAAGTAGTACTAAGTCTAATAAGAAAAGTTCTGAAAAGCAGAAGTCCAAATCGAAAGACAGATCAAAAACCTCTGAAGAAAGTACTGAAGAAGTTGAAGATAAGAAGATAAAGAAATCTGAAGAAGGAAATAAAAAAGATTCTAAGAAGTCAGTTAAAAAGGAGAAAAGTGAGGATTATGATAAAGCCTTGGAGGATCAGGTAGCCACTGACATGAGTGATACAACTGAATCTAGTGATGAGTCTATGGAAGAATTTGGAAAGAGGAAAAAGAAGCGGAAAGTTGCTGCTAAGGAAGGTTAGTAAAAATTTAAGTGAAAATATGGTCATCTATAACATGTGATGCAGCAAAGTGATCTTGTACATTAAAACATTTGTGAGAAATGATAATATTGGTTATACATATTTGAGACCGACTATCTCTTGAGCAAAAACATATACAAGTCACACATGAAAATAGTATTGTCTCTGAATCCATATATTTTTGAGTTTTGTCTGTAGAGATGTAAGTTCTTTGTTGTCAAATATTTTAACATATTTAACTTATTTTTAAAAGTTACAAATTTAAGTGTTAAAGCAGAAAAAAACCACCTGTCCACTTGCTTAGCTCAGTAGGGAAGGCATCAGATTAGTAATCCAGTGGTAGCTGGTTTGATCCTCGGGCAAGGCATAATTTGAGCCGTGCCATGGCAAAACCAACATAATGGGTTTGTGACCAGCATGAATCCAGACCAGACTGCGCGGATGCGCAGGCTGCATCCGCGCAGTCTGATCAGGATCCATGCTGTTCGCTTACAAACCCTATTGCAAGTAGAGAAACTGATAGCGAACAGTATTGATCCTGATCAGACTGCGTGGAGGCTAAGGCTGGTCTGGATCCATGCTTGTCGCAAACCCTTTATGTTGGTTTTGTCATGACGTGGCACAAATTTTCTCTGTAACAGTTGATCTTGGACTATGAGTCTTATGGACCTTTGGCTCATACTGCTGATTCAGAAATCATGTGGGATAAGTTGTCAGTCACTTGTGGAGAAATTATTTATAATATTGGTTTGTTATCCAGGAAAGCTGGTTGGGTTGATCAACCAATGAGACACAACCAAAAACGTGTTATTATTGAATTTGACATAAAAAATGGAAGACAAACATTTCATGATGTATTTTAATTTTTCAACATGCACTTGCTTATAATGTACATGTAGGTTTCATTTTTATAGGATTTCCTATTTGTAGTAATGCAACGAGAAATATGGAAAGAAACCATTATAGTTGCATTTAATTTCGGCTTAACAAGGCATTTTAGGCCAAAATATTTTTCAAGGTCTGCAGAATAAGTTACTTTAGAGATCCTAAAAGTGTCTTGTCAGATTTTTATAAAACATCTCCTCTTTTGTGATTATTATATTAGAAACACACCTTTTTTTGTCAATAAAAATTTAATTCTTCATTTTTTGTAGTGCAGCAAGTATATTACAAGCTTAAAAATTGAAGGTTTTTGAAAACTTTGACTATTGTCGATATACATGTAATTACCATTCACTTCATACAAGAATATCTTAACTTTTCCTGATATATTTTATTCTTAGAAAAAGAAACGTCAAAAAGACAAACCAGAAGAAGTGATAGAGGAAAGAAATCTGAAAACAATACTGAAAATTCAGATACAGATCCAAATTTTGATTCCGACCTTGAAAAAGAGATCAAAAGTCTGTCTAGAAGTACTAGACTTAAAAAAAAGGAAAAGGAGTCTAAAGAAAGTGAAAAAGAGGAAAAGAGTAAGAAAGAAAAGTCAAAAGAAAAGGAAAGGAAAGGAAAGAAACCTGTAAAAGGTAATAATTAATGAATATGATGTTTTAAGTGGTTTGACTGTTGAATACAAAATGTTTTGTGTTTTATTAAGTCTGATGACTGTATTCCATGTCGTTTTTAAGAAGATATCAACAAAAAAAAAATTCAGTTATCTTCCTCTAGATTGACCTTCATAAAGGTCAAGACTTAAAGATATTCTTGTTTAAAAAAGAAGTAATTGATTTAAAAAAAAAACAACTAGTTTTTTTTTAAGTAAGGTACACTTCAGTGATGATTTTAAACCAAGTGTTTGATGTTTCCTTCCTGACCTGTGTATAGTAGTTGTAAACTGCCCTTTACTTTGTATAATGGACTTGCCCTGATCTAATTTGGAACTGACCATTCTTTATGTTAAAGGGTTTTAATATAAGTGTTGAAAGCTGTCAACAGACAAAGAGAAATGATGAATATTTTGGAGTGAGAAAAAAAAAAATATTGGTGCGGAAAAAAAATAGAATGACATAATGCAAATATATCATCCCTCAGAGGCTATTTCTTTTATAACATGTAAATTGTGTAACTCGTTCCTATTTAAATTTTAAAAAAAATCAAGAAGGAAATGCAAATAAAGTTCATTGATTTCTATATAAAATGTATTAATTTTTACAGATGACATTGGTGACGCATCAAGTGGTACTGAAGATGATCCTGATTCTAAACCTTCCAAAAGAACAAGACAAAGCTGCGATAAGAAGTCTGAAAATAACACAGAAAATTCTGATACAGACCCAAATTTTGATTCAGATCTAGAAAAAGATATTAAAAGTTTGTCTAGAGAAACCAGGCTTTCTAGATCTAAGGCAAAGGAGACAAAGGAATCCAAAGAAAGTAAAAAAGAGGAAAGTAAAGGCAAAGAAGAGAAATCAAAAGAAAAAGGAGGAAAGAAAGAGAAGAAAACTGTTGAAGGTGATTTAAATAGATTTAATTCAGTTGTTGTTTAATTATTGTAAAATTGATTAAGATCTTAATTTTTCTGAAAATTTGGTTGTATGAATCAGAATAATGATGCAAGAACTTTTTGACAAAGGTAGAAATTTGCAAACCTTCAAATCAAATGCTTGTATAATGTAATGCACCTTTAAAAGAAGTATTTGTTTCTAGAAAGTTTTATAAGTTAGGTTATTGTTCCTGTAGTCTTGGATTATGTTACTACAATAATTTCTAGAAAGTCACAATATGAACTTAACAGTGATGCAACTTTGAGCAAACCCTGTGAGGGAAAAAAAAAACATTACGTAAAAGAAATAAAATCAAATATTTTAACACAAGAGTTAAGAAACTATGGAAATTATATCCTAATCAGTATTTAATGGCCTTTGTCTTAAAAAGACAAAAGTTTTAACCATGTGTTTCTGTATTATATATTTGTATAAATGTTTATGTTATAGAAGATAGTGATCTGTCTAGTGGAGAAGAAGAGATTCCCGAAGACGACGATGACTCGGATGAGGAAACTGAAAATAATCTCTCAGCTTCACAACTTAAGAAACTCAAACAGGTAAATATTAATTAACATGCCCCCCCCCCTTTCATCCTTTTGATACTTTTCAACATTTGAATCTTAAAGACTTGATATGACGGAGAAATACAGGTAATGAACTAGTGTCTTTATTGGCAATTTCTGTGCCATGAAATTATACTAAAGGTATCACTATAAAATGTTAAAAAAATTGATGGAGCTATCCAGCTAGCTTATGGAGGATTAGTGGCTCTTCTCAGGTACCTGTTCATGCCTAAAATAATGCACTAAAGGGCACATGAGGTCTTCCTTCACAAGTACAGTTGAAAAGTCACTAACAGTTCATGACCCTTACTGTGTCAGAGTGACTTAAAATCCAAACAAAACAAGTTTAAAAGAGCTGGTTGTATTATGAGATATGTTTTATTTCAGGCTAGGAAAGCTATGATTGATGAAGAGAGTGAAGATGATGATAGACCTGATGATCTGTCCAGTGACTCTTCTGATGATCCTGGTATAGTTTTCAACTTTATTTTGCTGATTTTGGCATGCAGGGTGGTTTATCATTAACTGAACAACATGCAGCTTTTAATTTCGATGAGTCTCTTGCTTACTATATAATATTCATCAAAATCCCCCAAATTGCACAGTATGTTGTCTTGTCATACTCTCTACTTTAATATAAAAGGCCAGTAACTTTTGGGTGCTAGTTAACTGAACACAGTATAGAGTGTTGTCAGATGGCACAGAAGTGCAGGCTGGCCTTGCTCTTTGCTGGTGACAATGGCTGAACACTTTTGGCTCCAGAAGCATAAAAAGGGCACTTGTTATTACAGAAAGACTCAATAATTAAGAAATAATGGAAATTGATTTTCATATTGAGACTTTGGAATGGCAAGGATTTAGAATCCTCACTTCAATTGTTTGGATAATATGTCAAATCCTGCTCTTAACTTTTGTTAAAAACAGGGATTGTCACTTGTTTATTATCATTATGAGATGATGGACCCTTGCATCATATTTAAGTATTATGAAAAGTATTTTTTCATCTTTCACTTTGTAGAAATATCATTCCCAAAATTGTCATCACCAAAGAAAGGAAAGAAGAAGGATTTGAGTGACGCAAGTGATGATTCCGACTTTGTGACCCCAAAGAAGAAACGAAGGAGGGGAGTTATCAAGGACAAACTACTCGATGTAAACATTTCAGATTCTGGCAGTGACACAGGGAAGAAAGGGAAAGGGAGAAAAGGGTAAGAAATTATTTTCTTTTGATGAATATATGAATTATAGGGAGTAGTTTTAAAGTTGTCATAGCATAGTGCGATTCTTCTGGTTCTTATTTTGGTAATGTGTGATCAGTTTTTAATGCAAACTCATTAATATATTGTATTAGATTTAACTAGGAAAAGACTGGTAAATGTTTGTGGGTGGCTTGAAGTGCACAACTTTAAAATTTCTTATGAGATTTAAGACTTTAACATAATGATTTCCATCAAGTTTTGTGGTGCATATTGAGGTGTGTTTGTGATTTGTTAAGTTTTTACCTTGTGTTTCTTTCACATAAGTATATTTGGCTGAGAACTTGATTTAATGGCAAATTGCTATCAGTTGCTTTTAATTTTGTTGGATAATTGCGCCTATTTCTTAACTGCAAGCAAGTAAAGCTTTTATTACACTTCTTTTGTTTTTGAATATTTCACTTCCCACGCTCACTTGAAGAATTTTATGAAAATATCAATTATCGAGATCGCTCAAAAGATATAATTTTTAAAAAAGCCATGCTCTCAAAAACTAAAATTATCTGCTCTGAACAGTTAAAGTAAATATATTAATAGAAAGAGAAAAAGAAAGAAGGAAGATGATAGTGATGCTTTCTCAGAGCTCAGTGATGAAGAGGAAAATAGAAAGAAGGAAAAGAAACGAAGAAGAATAAAGAAAATTGCCTCTAGCGATGAAGAAGCAGTAGGATCGGTTAGTTAAAATGATATGTTTTAAATGTTTTTATTTGTGTAAAGATATATAAAGAAAAAAAAAACAGTAAGTTTCTGGAGTGAATTGCTATAATTATGTATTAGAAAGGGACTTAGGTTGTTTTGAATTAAATGTGAGTGTTACATATGTATATATATAAGATAAAAT